GTCGTATATTGGATCTCACGCCATTATACCTCACACCCGCGTTGATCCACATTTGATCAAACGCCAACACATCTCCACACAACCTCTGAGAAGTTAGCGTCCTAAAGTGACGGTAAAGCCATAACTTCTCTAGTCCCAACTCTCGTTTACGGTTACAAGCATCATGCTTGAACCTCGCTCATGCACGTTTATTTACAACTCCACTAACATGACCTTCCAGCCATGCAGCGTGTTTTACATAATTCGCACACTTGCTCATCCGGTGAAGGAACATGCAAATGGATCTGAGATCCGGCAGTCCTTACACCCTTCTTATCATTCGGTAAGGATGATAACATGTCCCACGGACATGCATCAAACCGTTACCTCACCCAACGGGTTTTGCAGCACACAGATCTACAAGATCTGAGGCTAATCCTGCATAAAAACGTTAGTATACACTCGGATCTATACAGATCCGAGCTTCCCTGCATCACACGTTATTCACACAGAAGCACACAACCTAATCTACCGAGGCTAGTATTGTGATACAATGCAGATCTCACGAACAGCAACCGCGATAGTCCACCATTACCGGGACTCACCAGATCTGACGATATCCTCCACAAAATCGTCAGATCTAGACACTCACGGCCAAACAACACTCAGATCTAAGACCTAAGACACCGCTCACTCACTCAAAACTCAGATCCGAACACTCTCTCACAAAACCGAATGAACTCTATCCTTTCACTCACGGACTCACACTTTTTTTTTTCTCTTTCTTTCTCTCACACACACTCTCTAGCATGCCTAAGGCAGCAACTAATGGGATGGGTTGAGGGTTAAAGGCCTTCATATAGAGGATTTCCACCAATGAGGTGTTAACACCTTACCTTCTCTCTTCCAACCAATAAGAAAATGCCAGCTCGCCAACTAATCATTCTTATCTCTTCCCCACCAATCATAAATTAGCATGCGATTAATGTGACTCATTCCTACCTCCTTAACTCCAAAGTAATGAAATATACTCGTCTCCGTCCCGCGTTCACTCCATTTGGCCTTAATTCGGATCTCAATTGCGTTCATCGACTTCCTCCAAGATTTTTATAATTTTCTTTAGTAGATAAACTCCTCTTAGGGTTAGAATAAGTTTTCCAAATTTCTGAGTTGATAGGTTCTTGACCGAGTTGGTTTCTCCTCCTTTTAACCCATTACGCGGCTCGAACGCATTTATCGGACTGTTCGATTTTTAGCAAACTCGTCAGAATTTTTCGTGGAGAAATTATTCTTCCACGGCCTTCAGTATGGTCTTGGATACCTCAATGCAAAGTCCCATAATTTTAAAAATTGTACCGAGGGGTGTCCATAACCGAAAACTCTGTTCGGGTCGTTTAGCTCTTTGACAGGGTTATTACAATGCGTCTGGCGGACTGATGGCGAACACATATTCCTCCAGCAGGCGAGAGGCAAAGGCTTTTCTGTGACGATTTGGGCAGTCAAACTCATTCACGACATGCCATAGGTTTTTTTCTCTCTCTCGCTCGGGTAAATACCGCAAAAATGTTATATTGTCACCAGATATACTTAGGTTGTGGAGGACAAAAAGACACAAAGACATCCCATGTTTGACGAGACGCAGACGTAAGACAGGCATCTGGCGGCCTGATGGCGAAAAAATATTCCTCCCGCAGGCGAGAAGCAGAGGCTTCGCAGACTCACTTCACTTTTGACTACATACTATTAAGATATCCTGCAATGATTTGGGTAGTCAAACACATTCACAACGTGCCATAGTTCTCTCTCTCTCTCTCTCTCTCTCTCTCTCTCTCTCTCTCTCTCTCTCTCTCTCTCGAGTAAATGCCGCAAAAATGTTAAATTGTCACCAGATGTGTAGATTTGATATTATGATATATGATATATTGTGACGATTTGGGAAGTTGAACTCATTTATGATGTGTAGTTTCTTCTCTCTCTCTCGCTCGGGTAAATGCCGCAAAAATTTTATATTGTCACCAGATCAACTCGGGTTGCGTGTGAAAAGAAGACACAAGGACTTTCCATATTTGATGAGACGCAAACGTAAGACAGGAGTCTGGTGGACTGATGGCGAACATATTTTCTTCCCGCATGCGAGAAGCAGAGGCTTCGTGTTTGCTATTATGATATACTGTGACGATTTGGGTAGTCGAACTCATTCACGACGTGCCGTAGTTGTTTCTCTCTCTCTCGCTCGGGTAAATACCGCAAAAATGTTATATTGTCACCAGATCAACTTGGGTTGTGGAGGACAAGAAGACACAAATACATCAGATGTTTGACGAGACGCAGACGTAAGACAGGCATCTGACAGACTGATGGCGAACGTATATTCCTCCCGCAGGGGAGAACCAGAGGCTTTGCCTTTGCTATTATGATATACTGTGACGATTTGGGTAGTCGAACTTATTCACGACGTGTCGTAGTTGTTTCTCTCTTTCTCTCGCTCAGGTAAATGCCGAAAAAATGTTATTTTGTCACCAGATCAACTCAGGTTGTGGGGGACAAGAAGACACAAAGACATCCAATGTTTGACAAGACGCAGACGTAAGACAGGCGTCTGGTGGACTGATGGCGAACATATATTCCTCCCGCAGGTGAGAAGCAGAGGCTTCGCAGACTCACTTCACCTTTTACTACTATACTATTATTATATCATGTGACGATTTGGGTAGTCAAACTCATTCACTATATGCCGTAGATGTTTCTCTCTCTCTCGGGTATATGTTGCAAAAATGTTATATTGTCACCAGATCAACTCAGGTTGTAGGGGTCAAGAAGACACAAAGATATTCCATGTTTGACGAGATGCAGACGTAAGATAGGCGTCTGGCGGACTGATGGCGAACATTTTCACCCGCAGGCGAGAAGCAGAGGCTTTGAAGACTCACTTCACCTTTGACTACTATACTATTTTGATATACTGTGACGATTTGGGCAGTCGAACTCATTCACGGCGAATATTTTTTTTCTTTTGACAATTTGGCGAGGACCTCAAAGATGACGTGCTGTAGGTTGATTATCACTACACAAACTCGGTTTGTACATGTCAGTTTAGCATAACCAATTGATTAGGGCATCCCAGATTTGAGAATGAGGTGGCAACACTTGTAAATATATGGGAAAGCGTATCCATTGGTTGGCATTTCTAATATAAACATATATCAATTTATTAGGAAAAATTGATTAATATATGGCAATTTTATTATTATTTTGAAATGGATTGATTAAACAGTACTTTTCGCAAAAATTAGACTCCTTCTAACAATATTCCCAAACAGGAATCTTCTATTGGGATTAAAATTGCAAAACAGACTATTTTAAGAAATCACTCTATCTTTAAATATCTTTTTTTTCCTTATTCGTTATCTTCATGTAAAGCATCCAATTCGTGGTCAGTAATATTTTAAGAATATTTTATATTTTCTATAAAATAGTTGCCTCTTGATTTTACGTTTGATATTACATATGATAAACCTTCTGATCATCTATATGACATCCTAGCCAGTGCAGAAGATTTTGGAGTGCAAATCCCATCAGCTGAAGCCCAATCTGAAATTGACCTAGAGTTTTACTTTATTCCCCTATAAACTCAGATGCCTTCCTTCAGAATTTCAATTCAGAAATTCCCAATGAAACTTTGTCCAGTTTTCTTCAGAGCCTCACCCCGGAAAAATCGTTGGAGCAGTCACTAGAGCTTCTGCCATTTGACCACTTCCGCTCGTCACTGTTGTCGGAGGACCGCTGGAGTTGTAGACCGTTGCCGGTCGGAGGACCGCTGGAGTTGTAGACCGTTGCCGGCCGTCATCGTCTTCAAAAAATCGCCCCAGTCAACGAAAATGTGCTCCTTTGCACCGTCTTCTCTAATCTGTGGTTGTTTCTCGTCTTAGACTCTGTAATCTATTCAATGAGGACCCGCAGTGATGACATCCACTTTCCTTCTGTTTCTATTTCAGATCTGAAACTAAGGTGAGGACCGGTAACTAAAGAGACGACTTTCTTAGTCTCTGGAACCCCCTCGACGTACAACGCAATCATGGGAACACCCTGAATCAGCCCGATGGCCGCCATCCCATCCACATACCACCAATCCATGTGGTTCCTCACTGCAAACGGCATGGTAGAAATAAAGGGGACTGAGGTCAGCAACGCCCCCACTAATGACGCACCTGCCCACACCGTCCTGTAGCAATTACAGTGTGGCGATGAGCCACCAACAACCCCGGCAGCGGAAGAAGATGTCAAGGATATCCTCGCCTCGGCAGACCACCCAGACAGAAAGCTGAGAATCGGGAAAGAACTGGACCCAACACTGCGCGAAGACATCTACGCCTTAGTCCAGGCAAACCTAGACTGCTTCGCTTGGATGCACGCCGACATACCGGGAATCAGCGCCAAGACCATCTCGCATCACATCGACGTCCACCCGGACTATACCCTGGTCAAGCAAAAACACTGGACGTTTACTGCAGAGCAGGACGCGGTCATCGGCGAAGATGTCCAGAAACTACTCCAAGCAGGATTCGTACGCGAAGTCCAGTACCCGGAGTGGCTAGCTAATGTCGTCGTAGTTAAGAAGAAAAATGGGAAATGGCGGATCTGCATCGACTATTCGGACCTCAACAAAGCTTGTCCCAAGGATTCTTTCCCACTCCCGTACATCGATAAACTCGTGGACGCCACTGCTGGACACGATCTGCTCAGCTTCATGAATACGTTAACCGGCTATAACCAGATCCGAATACATCCGCCACACGAGGAAAAGACAGCATTTGTAACCTCGCAGGGAACATACTGCTACAATATGATGCCATTCGGACTAAAGAACGCGGGGGCAACATACCAGCGCCTCATGGACAAGATGTTTACCGAGGAAATAGGAAAAACAATGGAGGTCTACGTCGACAACATGATTGTCAAATCCCTCAGCCGAGATCTACAGCCACCTTCTCCAAAAGTAGATAAGTCTCCACCACCACCATATGTCTACAGCTCGCCTCCTCCACCATTCTACTCTTCTTCGCCTAAAGTAGACTACAAGTCTCCACCACCATCATATATCTATAGCTCCCCACCTCCACCATATTATTCTCCTTCTCCTAAAGTAGAGTACAAGTCTCAACCACCACCATACATCTACAGATCCCTAACTCCCCCATACTACTATCCTTCTCCTAAAGTAGACTACAAGTCTCCACCACCACCATACGTCTACAGCTCCCCTCCTCCACCATACTACTCTCCTTCTCCTAAAGTAGACTATAAGTCTCCACCACCACCATACGTCTACAACTCCCCACCTCCACCATACTATTCTCCTTCTCCTAAAGTATACTACAAGTCTCCACCACCACCATACGTCTACAGCTCCCCAACTCCACCATACTACTCTCCTTCTTATAAAGTAGACTACAAGTCTCCACCACCACCATATGTCTACAGCTCCCCACCTCCCCACTCTCCTTCTTCTAAAGTAGACTATAAGACTCTACCACCACCATACGTCTATAGCTCCCCACCTCCATCATACTACTCTCCTTTTCCTAAAGTAGACTACAAGTCTCCACCACCATCAAACATCTACAGCTCCCCACCACAACCATACTACACTCCTTTTCCTAAGGTAGACGTCAAGTCTCCACCACCACCATACGTCTACAGGTCACCACCACCAGATTACTACTCCCCTTCTCCTAAAGTAGATTATTAGTCTCCACCAGCACCATACGTCTATAGCTCCCCACCACGACCATATTACTCTCCTTCTCCTAAAGTAGACTACAAGTCTCCACCACCACCATACGTCTACAGCTCCCCACCTTCACCATACTACTCTCTTTCTCCTAAAGTAGACTACAAGTCTCCACCACCACCATACGTCTACAGCTCCCCACCTTTATCATACTACTCTCCTTTTCCTAAAGTAGACTACAAGTCTCCGCCACCACCATAGGTCTACAAAACCTCTTACTATTGATTTTGAATTTTGTTGGTTAACAGGGAACGTGACTGTGAGTTTCTCTTCTAATGTTTATGTATTTTGGTTCTTTTGTTGTCCTAGTTTGTTTCACATTCAGTTTGAGATTTTGTTAAATCAGTAAGCTTTTGTCTACTTTTTAAGTGCAATCAATGTTTGTTATTGTTTGATCTCACTGGAAATTTGAAGGTTAGTACGTACATTTCGCTATCCAAGAATAGGGGGCAGTCCATTAGGCTTAACTATGCAATTTTCACTAAGCTTAGGCAACTTCCAATAGTCTTTCGGTACATTAGTTGCTTATTGGTGTTGCTTTTTTCATTAATACGTTGTACACCAATGATTCTTGTAATAAATGTAAAAAAAAAAGAAAATCTGTGTAGTGTATTTATTATAAAAAAAATCATATAGCTTATGTTAGGTCTAATACCCAAGTTACTCGCTTCTAAAAGATCTCAACACCTCTTGATAAGGGTTGTCACAAAAACAAAAAATCATTCATCTTTATTAGGATAGATTTATAAATCGCTTTCTCTTTCAAAAAATTTAGAAAGGATATTGAAACTGAAATTTTAGAAGATTTTATGATTATTTTAGAATTTTATGTTATTTAACTAATGATTTCTAAATGTCGTACCAAAATCTATGTTATTAAACATGAAATTTATATAAAATCAATTAAAATCACTTAAACTTCTATATTAATCAATTCAGGATTTGTAAAAATTAAATAAAATCCATTGTTACTGAAAATATTTGAAATAGTAGATTTTTTGAAAATATTGAATGCTTTTAAATGATTTGATGGAGTTTGTTAGTTAAAAATATATATAAAAAAAAAAAAAAAAAAATCTCAATGTTTTAGATGGAATTTCATATAATTTTAATATCAAATCATATCAACTTCCCTAATCCACATAAAATCATCTAAAAATCATAAAAATATCAATTTTTTTCAAATTCTCTCAATTGATAGATTGAATTCACCCCCTTAGTGCATTATTATATATGTATTTTAATGAATTTGGATATTCAAATCAAATTCTGTTTATCTCTTCACATCGTTATTTTTATACTTATAAAGTATAAGACAATTGGCAACTGTGCATTTGATACTTGTCATTTATTATTTTAAATTTTATTTTAGTTTTGTTTTTGGCAATAGTTAAATTCAATTTCTCCTTACAAAAATAAATAACATGAAAGGTTTCTCGAAACATCATCCCTCCACCCACGATCCTTCTTCATCGTTCACTATCTTTTTTTTTCCCAGATTCCTATTTATCTCAGATTCGACCTTGCCTAATCTTGTGTGTTTGACACTTGATATTTTTTCAAAAATATTTTGTAGAATAACTCATGCCTTGAAGTACATCCTTGAAATATCTCATAATAATATTGTGAAATAGCACGATATATTGTTGAAAGTGCCAAAGCATTAACTATAGACATTTATTTCTCTTGTTTTGACCACTCTAATTTTGGTTTTGGAGCAGCGACTGCATCAGAACCTGCATCAGTGTTTGCAACAACTTGTCCATGTGGCTCCCATCCAGATTAGACCACTGTCCATACATTCTCATGAATTTCCTTCACGTCATGTATCAACTTCACTTTTCGATGGCCATAGTTTTCTGACCCCAAAACCAATGCTCTTCTGAACCAAAAATCACTGTTTGTGTCTTTGTGTTGTCTTCAGGATCGTTCTCTGAAATAGAATTTCTTCTTCTGCCTAGGTTAGGCTCAGATACCAATTGTAAGTGCAGAGAACGTCCAAAACACAGTAAAATACACTAAGGTTAGGCAATGTGCCTACACCTCAAATTATTATTAAGAATACTTTTTGAATACAACTACAGTTAGTATCCAGTATTGGAATTATATGACTCTAAGAACCTTTTAACTCGACCCCAATATAGTCTTAACTCCCTTTGAGATGCCTAAGATTAGCCATGCAAATCTATACCCAGGACTCTCAAGATAAAACGGCTACAAAACCTTTTTTTTAACTCTCAAGTCTCAAGTGATGTTTTTTGTCAACCCTATAGACCCCATACTTAAGGAATTATGTGCCTCCCTCTCCAGTTGGCAAGGCTAACAGCCTTCCGAAATCTAAAAAGAAATATTCCGTTTTGATTAATCCTGATCAAAGTAATATTTTTTTTTCCCATTAAATCTTCCACATATCTTTAAATATCTTTTTTCTTTATTCTTTATTTTCATGTAAAGCATCCAACTTATGGTCAATTATATTTTTAAGAATATTTATATTTTCCACAAAATCGTTGCCTCATGATATTACGTCTTATATTGTGTATGATGAACCTTTTGATCATCTATATGACGTTCTGGCCAATGCATAAGATTTTGGAGTGTAAAGCCCACCAGCTGAAGCCCAATCCAAAATTGACCTAGGGTCCTACTTATTCCCCTATAAATTCAGATGCCTTCCTTGAGAATTTCCATTCAGAAATTCCCAATGAAGCTTTGTCTGGTTTTCTTCAGAGCCTCTCGCCGGAAAAGTCGTTGGAGCAGTCACTAGAGTCACTGCCACCGACTACCAAGCCCGTCACAATTGTCGGAGGATCGCTGGAGTTGTAGACCGCTGCCGGTCGCCATCATCATCGGAAAATCGCCCGAGTCACTGAGAACGTGCTCCTTCGCACCGTCTTCTCGAATCGGTGGTTGTTTCTCGTCTTAGCGTCGATGATCCGTTCAATGAGGACGTGGTGATGAGATCTACTTTCCTTTCGTTTCTTCTTCAGATATGAGACTAAGGTGAGGACTGGTTGTGATCTATCTCTCTTATATTCATATTCGTTTCATAGTGAGTAGTACTTTGTTAATGCGTGCATACCTGCACTGTATCTATATGAATACATGTATTTGATTATTGCATGAACCTGATGAGTAAAGCGTTAATAACACTATAATAATTAAATGTTATATTATTATTGGTGATTGATAGACTTAATAATTTAGGTTGTTAAACGAAAAACGATTGAATGAACTATGAATAGTGTTTGCGGGTGTTTGCAATTTATGATGGAAATCATTTGCAAGTTGAGATAAGCTGTAGGATCCTTTTATGTTATGTGTTGTACTGGATATAGGAGGCGTGTGGCGCTCCATAGTCCATCGTCTGTGGCTTGACGAGCCCAGCATCGTGAGGACGGACAGCGTGTGTGCCGGTATATGCCACGGGGTGTGCGCTGGTAAAGGCACGGATGCACCAGTTCGGTTTAGGGTGTTATTTCTTGATCTATGAGTGTCTTCAGACGTGATCGCTTGTGTGTATTAGCTTAGGACTTTTATCTGGAATGGCTATGCATGAGCGAGATGTATATCGTAAGTCTCTAGGACCTGCCCTTACTGAGTATTATTGAAATACTCATCCCTCTTCTTTACAGGGGAGTGCACAAACATTTAAGAGTAGTCCGTCAGCTTGGTGCTCGTTTTGGGAGGACACAAATTTATTTTATTATTCACTATTTATTTTAAATATTTAAATTCGGATTTGATGTTTGAAGTTAAAATAATCTGTGAATGACATTTTAGATACGGTCCTTGGAATAGATATGAAGCAAATTTGAACTGCAAGTTTTTTAAAATTCAAATATTAATCTATTTTTGAACAAAATATTTTTAGATAGTCAAGTTTTTATGGTTGGTTATCAAATTGTAAACAAATATTATTTTGTTAAATTTGATATATATATATATATATATATATAATTCTTTTGTTAAATTTGATATATATATATATTATAATTTTATTATTCATATATAATCATGAATATATATTATTATAATGGATTAATTTTAAATATATATGAATTAATAATTATTTAAGAAAATTTGGTGTCATTTATAAAAAAAAAAAACTGATTCTAAAAATGAACTTTAGAAGCAATTAGAAAAGTGGTGCTAAATAATTGATAAGTAAGCCTCCTTAGCATCTATTGTGCCTAGATAACATTTCCAAATACAACAAAATATGCAATGCACATCTAGATAAAAACTAACTCTAATATGAATGTAAATGGGATCTAAAAACTGAGTTTATGCATGAAAGAGACTTAAAAATATATGATAATGTATGCATAAATGCTGTAAATAAAATACTGTAAATATGCAAGCTATCAATGTCCGTCCATGGCTCTCGAGCATTACCAAAATATCAGATGAACATCATGATTTACGGACGTGATATTTCAACATGTAACTTTATCGTAAACATATCATCATGAGTATCTGGTTTTGGTAGGATATTTTTCATTTGAACGTCAGAGAATCTGAGAGAGAAAATCACTTTTTATCCTCCTGAAGACTACTTCACTGTTTTGCTAAGTGATCTCAGGTTTTCGACGACAGATCCGATTGACAAACAAAATACAAATTCATAAGATTAGGTTCACCCGTCACGAAGAATATATATCTCCCTCATTTGCATCGGGTAAAATGCTTATGAACAGTTTGATTAACATGTTTCCTAAAATAAATTGATTTTGTTACTTCAACAAAAAGAAACTGATCTTGTTTGGTTTTAATACTATGTGATTACTTATTTTCTGCAGTCTTCGTTTTCAAATTAAAACTGGAATAGGCGTAGAAAATTAGTATGAATTGAAGGATTAAATTCGGGTTTTAATTATATGGCACTATTGGGAAAAATGGTCAAATTCTCTATAAATTAACAAGTTCCTGATGAGTCATATATAACCTATTAACTAATGCTAACAACTACATGAACTATCTAAAAATTTGAAAATACTACATAAACTAAAGAAATATGGTCGATTCCGCTAAAATCGTAAACGTTATTTATAGCGTTAGCGATTGCTGACTAGGACGACACATTGTGTGGAAAAATGGCCGATTCCCCTATAAACTTTCAAATATCTGATGATTTATATATTATCTATGAACCAATGCTAATAACTACTTGAACTATTTAAAATTTTGAAAACACTATATAAACTAAAGATATATAGTCGATTCCACTAATACATAAAGTAAATCTTCTATAAATTAAGAATGTTGAGACTTCAAAATTTTATTAATTTATAAAGTTATTAGTTAATCAATAAATTAATAATCTATAAAGATATTTTTCGGTTCGAATTCTTCATGTTCATCAAAAGACAAAAACATATATTTTCAGCAATGTAAATTTCATTAGATAATGTCATAAAAATGAATTTTGGAAGACAAATCAAATAAAATTATAAACTTAAAACAATAATATAATTATGTTTAACTATATTAAATTATTTATATATGTCTAAATGTATAATTATTAATTAATATAATTATTCGGACCATAATTTTACATAAGAATTCTAAAAAAAAATACTATTTTATTATCTTATTGAAATTTGCTAATTTGTTCATGACCCAACTTGGGACCGGCAAAATTTATTAATTTATAGTGATTTTTAATTTATCAAGTATTAGTTTATAAATATTCTACTGTATAACATTAATTGCAGCGTTAGCGATTGCTAATTAGGATGATACGTAAAAATTCGAAACATCGTATTAGGATGACATTGTATCTATGTCCTGTCAAACACATAATGATGACGTTTTGGGTGTTTTAGATTCAATTTTCTAAAGCTACGTTTCGAATTGAACATTAAGAATTCGAATTGTAAAATATCTTTATAAATTAATAAAATATTAATTTATCAATAAATTAATAATTATTAATTAAAATCTCAATATTATTAATTTATAAAGGTTTTATTGTATGTGATTTTGGTGGAATTAGTATCTGGTTTTGGTAGGATATTTCTATTTACTTATGTAATTATAAAGGTTTCGTATAGTTCATGTAGTTATTACCATTGGTTCATAGATTATATATAAACCATCAGAAATTTGAAAGTTTATAAGGAAATCACTAGTAAAAAAAAACAGGCTATAGCCACGACACTGTCACGACTGTGTCATGGCTTTTCTGAAACAAGTCACGAAAAAGCCACAGAAAGGTCACGTAAACGGAAAAAGAAAGAAATGTGATAATTTTGTGGCAAATGAATCACGTTTTAGTCACGAAACCTGGTGTGGTAAGGTTAGCCACTAATTAGCCACGAATATTTCGTGGTAAAGTAGTCACGAACAAATATCAGTGACATTACCGTGGCAAATTTAGATATGATTTGGTCCCGCCAAAAGCAGTGATAAGATTACCCACACTTTAGCCATTATAAAATCGTGGCAACCTTGTCACGAACAAAATATGTGACTAAATCGTGGCTATTTTTGTCACGGTTTATCCACGTTAGCTGTCGTGACTATATCCACCACGGGTGCTGCACCGAAAACATCTTATCAACCAGTGTGGCAGGTCGAATATATTCAAAAATTTAGTCATGTTAACAAATCGTGGCTATTCCGTAGCATATTAGTCACTTTTTAATCACGAAAATACCATGGCAGACCAAAACCGAATATATTCGATTAATAGTCATGAACATGGACCGTGGCTTTCCGTGGCTAAAATTATCTATATAAACAAACTTAGTTCTCGTTCATTTGAATCATTCATCTCATTTTATCATCCAAACACTATATATTCTCTTTCTTTTTTTCCAATATTTTCGTTTCTATAAAATAAATACCAAAATGTCTCACTTTTTTGAACCGAGAGAGTGGATGGATCTACATATTGATACAGAAAAAAATTGTGTATCAGAAGAGTTTATAGAGGGGATAAATGTTTTTCTTACATTTGCTTGTATTAAGCATCTTATCAAGAGTTTGAGACTTTATTGTGTCCTTGTGTGCGGTGCAAGAATCGGAAGCAACGCAATGCAAGAACTGTATCTCGCCATCTTTTTAAAGTGGGATTTAAGGGGAATTACTATGTTTGGTCAAGCCATGGTGAAAGTTGTTACGATGTTGGTGATTCTTTAACAGCTGGTTAATTTACCGGGGAAGCAGCAACGTGGGATGAGCAAGCAACAAATTTTTCAGTTCCGATTAATGTATACGAGCTTTATCTAAATGCAAATGTGAACGCGGGAGAAGATGTGGCATTAGACGATGTATTCAAGAATACCAACGAAGAGCCTTATCATATAGCGTTTTTCAAGCTTTTGAAGCCGCCAATCAACCTCTTTATGATGGGTTTGTAGAAGGAATCTCTCAGTTATATGTGGTTTCACGTATGATGAAATCAAAATCTGATCACTATATGTCAGCGGCATGTGTAGATGAGATGTCACAGACTTTGAAGAGTGTTCTCTCGAAGTCAAACACAACTCCATCATCATACTATGAGACGAAGAAAAGAGTTTGGGCTATGTAGCTACGAAAAGCCACAAAATAAATTAGTTACGATTGTATAGACACAATTTTTTCATGTGACTTTTCGTGGCTATAGGATCATATAGCCACGGTATTTTGTGTTAGTCACGAAAGAAACAGTGGCTATAGCCACATTTTTTATTAGTGAGTCGACCATTTTAACATACTATGTATCGTTCTAGTCAACAATCGCTAATGCTATAAATAATATTACATGTAATTTTGGTGATATCGATCATATTTCTTTAATTCATGTAATATTTTTACTTTAGATAGTTCATATAATTATTATCATACTATTGAGTAAAAAAATTAGATGGAAAAGTTAAACACGTGTATTCTTTTTGGGCCTAAAAAAAATGGGTTTGGGCTTTCATTTGTAAATTGGCGGGTGCAAAACCAACATTGAATTGGGCATATATTATACGCTCTTTGATTGTATTGATGATGCTAGTTCTATGTGTATAGTTAATTTTAGTTGTATGTATGGTAATGGATCCTCCATGTTCTATGGACAGTTACTTTTTAAATTGCAATATGTATACAATTTGTAATTGCCAACATTAGTACTTAAAAGTTAAAAATGGTAAAATCGAATATAATCATCGTTTCTGGACTTCCAATTATTATTATTATTTTTTGTAGCAAGTTTCAAACATTCGCTATGGACTTGTTAAAAACAGTGGACTATTGTTTTTATTTTATTATACTCAACTTTGTTCTTCTTTTTGTTGTTAATGTTTTTCTTATTTTTTGTCAACCTTTTGTTGTTAATGTTTGTGCATCATTACAAATGCACGTTATAGCCCTTATCAGTTTTCTTTCATATTTTTGCATCACAAATGACAAAATCAGGTGGGCCAAGTCGGACCACGTCTCTCTTCTTTATTCAAAAAATTTTGTGCTCATTTTCTCCTCACACTATTTATATATATATATATATATTCATTTTTTTCATTCTCGTCTCAAATCAATAGATCGTTTACTTTCCCTGAAGTTTTCAGAGAGAAGAAAAACATCAAAAGTATTTCCCGGAAAATTTTAATTTGCTATAATCTCTCATTTTCTCGGGAAAAATGTTCCCTCTCCGTTTACAAATTCTCTTCTGAGATAAGAAGTTTCCATAACCACAGCTTCTGAATTTTTCTTTCACTTTCTAGTATACACATTCTTCAAATTCTTCTCTTGTTAAAACTTTTCCCGCTTCTCTCATTCCCGATCTGATTTTACCTCCGAGAGAATCGACCTGAATTATGCAGAAGATGAGTTAACATTTTAGGTCCGATCAACTTCAGAGTTCAAAATTTGAAACCACAAATTCGTCAATCGTCATCGTTTTCCGTCTCTTTCCCGGTGAAATTTTCTGTCAATTAAGCCAACGAGAAAATTTTCAGAAGTGCAGTACAAACAAAATGCAGAGAGTGAGCTTTGAAGTGTCAGGCTATAACTCAGACGCCGACGCCGGAAGCAGCGGTTACATGAGCGGTCCAATGAGCGGCCAATTACCACCGATCTACAAAAAACCAGCGATGAAGAACTCGGCGGAGAACAGCCAGAGAACGCGTACGGCGGCGGCGCCATACGTGGACCTCACGGTAGATATTCAAGACGAGAGAGTGTCTGTAAACAGTTTGAAATCGCCGGGGTCAGAAGGTGGAGCAAGCATCGAAGAGAACCCGGAGCTCACGCTGCTGAAACAGAACCGCCTCGAGAAGAAAACCACGGTGGTGAAGCGTCTGGCCTCTGTTTCTCACGAGCTCAAGCGTCTTACTTCGGTCTCTGGCGGTACGAGAAAGGCCGGTCGAGGTCAGGCTAAGTTAGACCGGACGAAATCCGCAGCCGCTCAAGCTTTGAAAGGACTTAAGTTTATTAGCAAAACCGACGGTGGCGCTGGCTGGTCCGCTGTCGAGAAGCGGTTTAATCAGATCACGGCCACGACCGGTGGACTACTGATTCGAACAAAATTCGGTGAATGCATAGGTAAAATTACATCTAAATAAGTACATTGGCTCATGTCTCTTATATATTACTCAAGTTTCATTATAAATCTTTGAATGTAAAATTGCTAATACAGGGATGAACTCGAAAGAGTTTGCGTTGGAACTGTTCGACGCATTGGCTAGAAGAAGGAATATAACAGGGGAAGTGATCGATGGAGATCAACTAAAAGAGTTCTGGGAACAAATCAATGATCAAAGTTTTGATTCTCGGCTTAAGACATTCTTTGACATGTATAGTTTTGTTTTTTCTATTTTCCATTTTCGTCTTTTGAGTTTCTCTTCAAGTTCTAAAATTATGAAAATTGCAGGGTGGATAAAGATGCAGATGGTAGACTTACAGAAGACGAAGTTAGAGAGGTAAATGCAGATTTATTATCTTCTCCAAGATCAAGATTTGTTTTTACTTACTTACTCTGTTTTAACTCTGCTCTGTTCTTGTTCTGTTTCACAGATTATAAGTCTTAGTGCTTCTGCAAACAATCTCAACACAATCCAGAAGAGAGCAGATGAGTATGCAGCACTGATCATGGAAGAGCTGGACCCAGATAATATAGGATATATCATGGTAAGTAGTATTAAGTTAAAGCTTTCTCTTGTGTATGAGCTTTGAGTCTGAAACCATTCTGATGAATCTTGAAACAGTTGGAGAGTCTTGAGACACTTCTTCTGCAAGCTGCATCACAGTCTGTAATAACAAGTACTGGGGAGAGAAAGAACCTGAGCCATATGATGAGTCAGAGGCTTAAGCCAACGTTTAACCGCAACCCATTGAAGCGATGGTACCGTGGATTCAGATTCTTTGTGCTAGACAATTGGCAAAGATGTTGGGTTATAGCGCTTTGGCTCACGGTTATGGCCATACTCTTCGTATACAAATACATACAATACAGACGTAGCCCTGTGTATTCGGTGATGGGAGATTGTGTGTGTATGGCTAAAGGTGCAGCAGAAACAGTAAAGCTGAACATGGCTTTGATTCTCCTACCTGTTTGCAGAAACACCATCACATGGCTTAGGAATAAGACCAGGTTGGGTCGTGTTGTCCCATTTGATGACAATCTTAACTTCCACAAGGTAAATAAAACACATCACTATTCACCAATTTTACCATTCATCAAATATTTATGTTTTTATGTTAACTAGAAAAAAAAAAAATATGATTGAGCTATTAATAGAAATTTTCAGCGTTTAAAAATTATTCTACATAAATTTTTGAAGTTCCTTGCACTAACTATTTTCAGTTAATTATTTTGTAATTCTTCTATTCATCTGATGTAGCAGATTATTCGCAGAATTTCTTATAACAAATCGATGTTTAAAAACATTAGGTTATAGCGGTGGGGATCATAGTTGGAGTAACGATGCACGCCGGGGCACATTTAGCATGTGATTTCCCGAGGCTACTAGACGCAACTCCGGAACAATATAGGCCTTTAAGGCAGTTTTTCGGTGATGAGCAACCGCAGAGCTACTGGCATTTTGTAAACTCGGTGGAAGGTATAACCGGACTCGGAATGGTTCTGTTGATGGCTATTGCATTCACACTAGCCACTCCTTGGTTCAGAAGAGGGAAGCTAAAACTTCCAGGCCCATTAAAGCAGCTAGCTAGCTTCAATGCCTTTTGGTACACTCATCATTTGTTCGTCATAGTCTACATTCTTCTTGTTGCTCATGGATACTACTTGTATATCACCAAAGACTGGCGCGGCAAAACGGTAAAACTTAAAACTAATTTCCTTCTTCTTATTCGTCTCACAAAGGTACATAAAGCTAATTAATTCCTAATGATATGGTTGTAGACCTGGATGTATTTGGTGGTACCAGTGGTTCTATACGCGTGCGAAAGGTTGATTCGAGCATTCAGGTCGAGCATCAAGGCGGTGACTATTAGGAAAGTAGCGGTTTATCCTGGAAACGTATTGGCATTGCATTTGTCAAGGCCTCAAAATTTCAAATACAAGAGTGGTCAATACATGTTTGTTAATTGTGCTGCTGTATCTCCATTCGAATGGTACGAACCAAACTTCATATTTTTTTCTACATTGCTAATAAGTTCTTAATCATAATGATGGTTTTGATCATATATATGTAGGCATCCATTTTCAATTACATCAGCACCACAAGATGATTACCTAAGTGTTCACATTAGAGTTCTTGGAGATTGGACACGAGCTCTTAAAGGAGTCTTCTCTGAGGTTTAACAAGTTTAACCAACTTTGTTTGAAACTAAAAGAGTTTTGAAATAAATGGTTTGGGTTTTGTGTGTTGTTTCAGGTGTGTAAGCCACCTCCAGCAGGAGTTAGTGGTCTGCTTAGAGCCGACATGATGCATGGTGCAAACAATCCCGAGTAAGTGAAATATCTTAACCACTTATCTTGACAAAACGTGATATAGGCATTGTCACACGTAAAAGACTAAATCGTGCTAAGAAAAGGGACGATTTGGTTCTAGAAAGTTGTTCTAAGAGGATGAATCACGAATCGTGTTATCCACTTACAAAAGGCATTTTTGGTATAAAGGGTAACAAAATTCAAAACAATGGTGTACCTAATACATCAAAATAAGTAGTGGGGGACCACAACGTAAAACAAACCAATCTACCTAACCAACTATTACTTATTTTATTTAGGTTAATGAGACGCATTATTTGGTATATCATGCAAGCACGATGTGTTTTTATGCTTCTCCATGTGTGTTTTGTGACCGCGTAAATCTTGGGTCCCTCCGCTTGCAATATTATTTTGTGTCTTTTAAACGGAAAACAGTGGGTGATAGGTCAAACTCTACGTTTTTTAATGTCAACACTCGGTGGTTATTCATTATAAAATACTTTTGCATCATGTCAAGATATTTATATTTACTTTATCAAATTTCGTATTATCAAATCAGTTTAAGTTGAGGAGATGCTGACATTGAATGTTTTTGGGGGCACATCACATGTAGATATCATTAGATCCAGCCATCTAGGTGTACGAATATACTTGCATATATACTTCCCCTGTCGTTTTTTTTTTAAAGTGTTCACATGCCTAATTAATTTGTTTGGATAATCATGATTATTCAATTCATTTGAGAATTCCAATCTATATATCTTTTTCTTTTGGTGCTATTAACAATGTTAACTAGCTAGGAATTAAAAATGTAACCATGAGTTACAATTTGTTTATATTCGCGTAGAGTAGGACAGAAAGAAGTCACGAGAGAAAAGTGAACATGGCATTAACTAAAAAAAAATCTTATATACGTAATTGAACAAGTCATACATAACTAATATCCAACGAACTTTGAAAGATATATCAGATTTCAAAAGATGTTAATGTGAAATACGATTGTAAAGAAATATGGTGTAATTCAAACTTTGACAAAAAAAAAAAAGTTTTCTTCAATCATTGATTTAAAAGTGAATTTTCTAGGTTTTCTAAGCTTCAAGATTTGAAAGTTGATATCATATTTAAAATTTTACGTGTGTAGATTCTAATTTTTTTGCTATATACTTTGGATTTTGTTCTTTAATAATTTAAGAAATGGAATTTATTTCAAATAACTCAATATAGAAATTTTTTAAGCCTAAAACAATACCATCAACAGGATTATGTCTTCAAAAAATTATGTCCTTTGCTAATAGCAATGACCCTTATTGCACAGCTTCCCGAAAGTCTTGATCGATGGTCCGTACGGTGCACCAGCACAAGACTACAAAAAGTACGAGGTGGTTCTACTGGTTGGTCTCGGAATCGGAGCCACACCAATGATCAGTATCGTCAAAGACATTGTCAACAACATCAGGGCCAAGGAACAAGCCCAACTCAACCGAATGGAGCACGGGACAAGCGCACCACAACCAAGAAACAAGAAAGAGAGTTTCAGGACGCGTAGGGCTTACTTCTACTGGGTGACGCGTGAGCAAGGCTCTTTCGATTGGTTCAAGAACATAATGAACGAGGTCGCGGAACGAGATACTAACCGTGTCATCGAGCTCCATAACTATTGTACAAGCGTCTATGAAGAAGGTGACGCTCGTTCAGCGCTTATACATATGCTTCAGTCACTAAACCATGCCAAGAACGGCGTCGATATTGTCTCTGGAACAAGAGTTATGTCCCATTTTGCTAAACCTAATTGGAGAAATGTTTACAAACGCATAGCCATGGATCATCCTAACACTAAAGTTGGTAAGTTTACATCTCTTTCTCTATTATATCCTTGCGGTTATAGACAAAAATAAATATATATATATATATATATATATTACATGTTTTAGTTTCGGGTTTTAAAATTATGATGGGTTTTGCCCAGAATTTCCTGTTAATTTTTTAAAAAAAATATTAATCAAAAAATATATTTATTTGGTAGGAGTATTGATATAACATTTGAAATTATATTAACAAAAATGTGCAGGAGTGTTCTACTGTGGAGCACCAGCATTGACAAAGGAGCTAAGGCATTTAGCTTTAGATTTCACCCACAAGACAAGCACCAGATTCTCCTTCCACAAAGAGAACTTCTAAAGGATACACAGAGTTAAAAGGCATAATTAAACAACAACAAAAACACAAAGAAGCATCAGATGTTTATCGTATTTACTTCCCTTAATTATATATGTATACTTTATGTGCACTCTCTTGACTGTAGATTTCCTTTTATCCTTTTTGGTCGTATGTTTTAGTTGTTTTTTCTTTGGAAAGTGTAACTTTGATTGTCAACGAAAGCAGTGCAAAAAGAAGCAAAGGCTTTACAAGTGGAAAGAATTGCGAGACTGTATACAAAGGACATATGCTTTTAGAATTGCTGAGATTTAATTCATGGGCATTACTCAAATTATTCTTCTAAAGTTTACATGCGTTGTTTCTTTTTGGATTCTTGGCGGAGAACGATAAAAATAGTTTTGTTGGGTTTATAAATCTTCGTTCTTTTTTTTGGTATGTTATATAGTAAAAGAACATTATATTTCATATATACTTCCTATGAATTTGAAACTAAAAACCCCTACCAATCATACCATACCAATTATTATGTTAGTCTATGTATAAAACATACAAATGTTTACATAAGTGAATGTGAATATATATCTATATACACATTTGAATAGATGTACCCTAAAATATAGAACTTTTGCAAATTATAATAAGTTTTATAAAAGTTCTATATTCCATAATAAAACTTTTATAATAATATAAAATAATTAATATTATTGTTTCAAAATTATTTAGTTTATAAAAGTTTTATAATGGAATATGAATGAATCATATAGAGATACGATAGATGAAGGTGGTTCCAACAAAATAATTAAATATCAATAATATGTCGTATATATACTTCAGGTTTTTAGTCCATAGCGTAGTATGTGACTGTGTGGACATCTCGTAAACTTCAGGTTTTCAATTTCAAGAATATTATTTATTTATTTTTAAATTTAACCATTCGATAAACTAATCATTAAACATGTGCCTACAAAGGCCCTGTTATCATGTGACACATGCAGCCACATGTGCGCTCTTAGTGCACTACAATTAAATTTTCTTATTAAAAAACCGTGAACATGTGCCTACAAAGGCCCTGTTATCATGTGACACATGCAGCCACATGTGCGCTCTTAGTGCACTACAATTAAATTTTCTTATTAAAAAACCGTGAACGGCAGGATTCGAACCTGCGCGGGCAGAGCCCACATGATTTCTAGTCATGCCCGATAACCACTCCGGCACGTCCACTTTGATGTGAGATAACCACACTTTAATTTATATCTATTAATCTAAAGTTGAGTATAAACGCTTCTCTTTCCCATTTTCGTGTTTCCAAAAACTATTTCTCGAATACTATAATTTTCTCATTTCTCTCGATGATTATTACATACAGTCAAAAGTCAAAACCACACCAAAACGGGAAGATGTTCAAACAGTTTACACAAAACGACAAGACGTTTCCTAAAAATTTCTTTTATTGTACACTAAAATCTATTCCAAGACAAGTTATAGACCACAACTGGAATCTTGAATCATCAAAGCAAAAGTGAAGAAGCATGAAGCAGCACTACAATTTTCTCAGTCAAGAACTCAAGAACTATGAAGAGCTTTTTACACTTGGAGAAAAACAATTAAAAGTTTGAAGAAACAAGAATATTATAGTATATTATTATTATCACATACAAATGATGATTAGAAGAATCACGTATGTTAAAAAATAACCTAGTTTACCTAGGTTCTCATCTTTATTATTTCCACTCTTTCGTCAATATCAAAATGAAGAAGCCACTAATCAAGTTCTAGACTCTTTTTCATAGCTTCGTAGACCATATACGTAATACTTGCAGCAGGAACAACCTTTAGAAGATTCGGTAGAAGCCCTTTGTACAGTGCTCTATAGCCTTCTTCACTTATCGTCCTCCTGAATACTCCAGACATCGATGTCTTTGCTCGTTCCGCTTGCATTCTAATGTGACAACAACATAAAACTTTACTTCAAATGCCAACAAGAACTGATATATTTATGATTATGTATGCAACTACTTACCTTGTTCTCACAACCTGCAAAGGATAAACACAGGTTGCTCCAAGAGCTCCTGAGATTGTTCCGCATCCTAATTGCACAAGCGGACCTGGTTCTGAAGACGAAACCCATTTCTGTGAGTCCTATGTTCAAGAAGATTCAGAACAGATAGCAAGAAGGAGATTTACCTGCGTCTTGAAGAATATATGTCCTTGACAAGTCCTTTAATGTCTCATATGCAGCAAGATCGATACCGGCATAAGGAATAATCCCGAGAAGAGAAGGGAAAAGACCTTTGTAAAAAGCTCGTGGACCTTCATGAACCAATATGTCTTTAGTAAGCGTTCCAAGCTTAGGGGCAACAACACCTGCTTGGCTAGTGCAAGTCTGCAACCGAGTTTTCACAAGATCCAAAGGGTATATAGAGGCTTGAGCCACCGCACCAGCCATACCTCCGGCGAAAAGTCTAGCCGTTGTGCCTATATCCGCTTTGTCTTCACCCATGTTTTCACCAATAGCGTTCTTGAAAAGCTCATATGCATAGAACTTGATGGCACTCTCTGGTGCTACCTTCACAATATTCAAGCCGTTACCTCGGAAGAAACCCTTAACCCCACCTTGGTTCCATATCGTCTTTATGGCTTCTCGGATCTTAGCATCGGTTTTCTGGATTTGCAGAAGAACTTTTAAGCGGTCTAGTGGTGCAGTCGCGGTCCTAGAAGCAGCACCGGCTATGCCACCTGTGACAGTACTATCTTGTTGTCAAAAACCAAATTTGTTTCCGTTCAAAGAAGATAAGCTAGTAACAGTGTTCAGGAAGTCCACCTGCAATGAAGTAGTTGCTCCTCTTTACATGTTTGCTGATTCCTTCTGGGATAACGGCTTGTTCACCAATGTCTACAAGACATACTCTTTCCCAGTGGTGGTATATATTTTCGATCGTGGCTTCGTGAGGATACAACAAAAGAAAATCTCTCCACTCTTCAAACATTATGATTCCATCGTTGTCCTTGTCAACGTGTTCCACAAAGCGAGCGAGCTCCTCGTCGTTTATCTCAATCCCTGCAAAATAGAAACTGTTGTGGCTTATAGGACGAAAACAGAGTATAAGCACAAAAGCTGTGGTTCGAAGTTACAATTTCTACACACAGAACCGAAACAGAATTTTAGCATAGGAAGTCTTCATAAGTACACATCGTAATCAAATTTCATAAATATAAGAGCAAATTCTAATACTCAGAGAACCAAAAATCTTACAAAGTGTGGTATTTACTCAACCACTTAGATTCACAAGCGTCTCATCTTAACAAATGATCATATGTGCATATATATACAAAAAGAGATTGCATCAACAGAGATTGTACAAACTTGTCCTGATCTGCAAAGCTAATTTCAATCCAAACGTATAACGTCTTCACCAAACACTAATTCATCACATAACTCAGCTTAATACACTATGATCTAAACAATTGCTCACCCCAATATGTTCTTAGCAAAAACAAGAAAAGGCTCGCTTCACTCATTATCAACTTAAGATACTATGATCCAACAAATGCTCACCCCCAATACGATCATCAAGTCACATTGTAATCGAGTTATTAACCAAAACAAAAGCAAACGTCTCGCGCTTTACACTCCAATCATCTGAAATAATCAAGAACTGGGAGCATAGAGATAAAATTATACCGGCCTTAACGAGCGAATCCCAGAGTCCCTCAGGAGAAATGCAACCATTATGCTCAACATCAATAGCTTGAAATATCCTATACAGCTCGAGCTCCTTATCGTCCATGTATCTTCGAAACTCGTGATAATCGACACGCCCGTCGCGATTCGCATCACAAACCCTAAACAACTCCTTGGCGTATTTGTACACACTAGGGATTTGAAGCGCCATCAGTCCCTTCTCGATTTGTGCGCAATCCAAATACCCAACATTCTCAGAATCGAAGAAACTGAATAAGCTCCTGATTCGTACATCTCGCTCCTCCTTCGTCTCACGGAGAGCTAGAAGAACATGATCCATGGAAACGGGTCCGGGTTTCTTTACCGGGTTGCAGCAACCCTGTCTGGATGTCTTGGCTTCCATCTTCGTAGTCGGTAAACCAACATGCTCAACGCCATGGTGACTCGACATGATCGATCGAATCAGGAATTCAAAATTCAAAATTGCGTGATCATAATCCTTCTTCCTTATACAGATCTACAAGGGATGCAATGAATCCGATCTACAATCTGCCAAACGCTCACCATTTAAAAACCTGTAACGCAGAGAGAGAGATTTCGAAATCCGTTATATCCGAGTGAAATCGAATAACGAAACAAGATGTTCTTCCCAGCTTCAGTGATCCAATACAAATTGAAGAAAGACGAAATGGGTGGAGTTAATCAGCAGTGGAATTGTATGAACATTGATTCAAAGAGAATGGGGGATTTGTGCTGATGCTGATGCTTTACAGGTGAAGCTGAAGGAGGAGGAGGAAGAAGAAGAGAGAGAGAGGTGGAATTGGAAAAAGGGCCAATTTCTCCAATGGTATGGAATCGAGATTCGCATGGGATATTCTTCATTTAATTTATACGATTAAATTTGATTTGATTATTAATTAACTTTGTTTAGTCGTCTTTTCTCATTATGCGATTTGAAAAATCATAATCCTTTTTTGGGAAATGGAAAGGTTTAATGTCGATTATTCCATTTATATATTCCCACCGTTCCATATTGTATGATGTTTTAAGTTTTTTATTTTGTTCCACTAAGATTGATTTTCTATATTATATTTAATATATTTCTATTTTTAAAACAACTTTTTGGATAAAAAAATATAAAAAATTAGTATTAAATTAATAAACACACAAAAAGTACTTTAAAAAAGTAAATAATCATTATTTTCTTAATATCTGTGAAACATCTAAAACATCATATATTCTAAAACGGAGGGAGTACTTTTTTAATTATATAGAAAGAATTTTAAATCTTCTAGGGGTAATCGTTGACGGGTCCAAAGAGACTAGATTTTTCTGGACACACGTCCCAGAGCATTACATAAATTAGAGGCATGTGTACTTCAAGGCTTGGGACTGAAATTTACAGGTAAAAAGATGGGAACATGTAATTTGAGAAATTAGACATATTATCCGAAGTGTTTTCATAAAATAACGAAACAGTCCAAAGAGCTTGTTTTGCAATAGTATCGACTAACAGATTAGTTTTTCTAGAGATTATAGCAAAATTCACATCAAAAAACAAAGATGAAAAATGTAGTATATCCTGCAAAATTCCATTGCCGATAACTGAGATCCCAAATTTGTGTATTTAAAATCATTTTTTTCATATTCGGGAATCCGAGGTAGTTCACAATCCCAACAATCTTTCTCCGAATACCCACTAATAATGAGACTTTTTAATATTTAGGAGTTAAAAATAGCCGACAAATTTATCTGACAACAATCTTCTTTTATTTAGTTTCCAAACCTTTGGATCTATTAACGTCAGTTTACTTTTTAACTATTTAATGCTTTTTCAAGCAATTGATTTTGAATTATTAGTGAAGTTTCTCCATAAGGCTATCTCTATCTTTTAGATACGAAAGAAAAAATTTCTTAATAATAAAATATCATATTTAAATATAATATAAATAAATAATTAATCTTTAATTTTAAAATAAAAAATTAACCATTTATAAGATGACAAATATACTGAAATTATGAAATATGGTATCTTAAAAATATATTTTGAAAAACCTTATCCTAATTTCTTTCCTACTTTTTCTTTTTTATTCCTTAGATACCTTGTAAGAGCCTTGCGTTGGAGATGGCCTAAGAACATCTCCAATGTATAATTCTATTTTTATTTTAAAATAGAACAATTGTAAAATAGAATTGCATTTCTCTCCAATGTATGATTATATTTCATGTTCTATTTCTTTTTATAGTTTATTATTAATTGCTAATTGATCCACAATTTCTTCAAAATTTACAAATTGATTCAATAATTTTTTTAAAAACTTTTATAAATTATACCAAATTTTAAATTTAATTATTTTAATATAAAAACACATTATACTATATCAAAGTAATAAAACAAAGTAGATATTATTTTATTCATCTCCATTTGAATTTTTTTCCCATAAATAATCAATTAAAGCATTTTAAGTGAAAAATAAGGGTCTTTATTTTTGATTTTTCTAAATCGAGCAAGAAAATTTTGGAACCATATATTATCATCATCGACTATGTCGACTTCTGGAATTGAAGCTTCTATTTCAACTTCAATTGGTACATTAAGATCCCGCTCACCTTCGATTATCATGTTGTGTAAAATTACACATGTAGACATAATATCGTGTAACACATTCTTGTTCCAAAAATAAACCGGTCCTTTCACAATAGATAAACGTGATTGGAGAACTCCGAACACATGCTCCACGTCTTTTCTTCATGCTTCTTGTCGCACAGCAAAATATTTTTTCTTTGCACCCATTGGCTCGTGAATAGTTTGCACTATCGTAGACCACTTTGGATATATATTATCACCCAAATAATAGTCTATATTATATTTCTTTCCTTGTATGGTATAATGAACAGGAGGAGCAATACCTTGAGCAAGATTGGAGAAAAGATGAGAAGATTCCAACACATTAATATCACTATTGGTGCCCAGCATTCCGAAATAAGCATGCCATATCCAAAGATCATAATCTGCCATAGCTTCAAGAATTATCGTTGGTGATCCACTACGACCTGCATATTGTTCAGCCCAAGTGGTTGGACAGCTTTTCCACTTCCAATGCATGCAATCTAAGTTGCCCAACATTCCTGGAACCCCCCGTTTTTCACCAATGTAAAGAAGTCTCGCAACATCATTACATATGGGTGACCGTAGCTATTTGCTGGAAGACCATATGCTAGCATCCGAAACACAGCCGTCACTTTCTGAAGGGAAGATAATCGATTTCTACCTATGGTATCCCTTCGTTGTGTGAATAAGTTATCATGACTTTCAACTGCATCAATAATACGAAAGAATATGGAACGAGACATTCGATACCTTCTCCGAAACATAACATCATTGTAGACAGGAGTCTCTGAAAAGTAATCATTGAACAATCTACAATGTGCACTTTCTCGATTTTGATGGCTAAAAAATCATCCAGGAACTGAGTCACTATGAATCACTTGATTGTTTTGTTGATTGAGAAAATATTGCATAGTCGCATTGTTATTAGCGATAGCAAAATTTATTGTTTCTTATTCATGATCCAAATTATTGATTATTTCAATATTTTTATCATTATTAAAAGAGGATGATAAAGAATTAGAAAACGGTAGACTATTAATATTAAAATTCATTTTAATGGAAAATGAAAAGATATAAGCAAACTTATCCTTGTGATAACTAACGTATAAGTGGTATTTATAGGAATATGAATGTGAAAATATTAAGGTGCATTTCATTTGAGGTTTTGAAAATATTTATTCTACATAGAAAATTTACAATCATTTGGTTTTTTGGAAATTGTTTTGACTAGTTTTAGAAAAATGAGAAGAAGTCAAGTTTAACTCTAACTCGGCGTGATTTTATTTACTAATGTTTACGGCAACAGTAACATTATTTTATAATTATTTATATCGTGTATTTTCAAATGCATTTGGAACAAAGCTTGTTGGAATTTTCAAAATGTGTGTCTTTGCATCGGTTTTTGCATATTCAAATACATTGATCTTTGCATGGTCAAATTCATTAGTTTTTGCACCGTCAAATTCATTAGATTTTGCATGGTTAAATTTATTGGTTTTTGCATGGTCAAACGAATTGATATTTGCATGATCAAGCGAGTTTTGTTATATGATCAAATTTCATGCATCTATAAATACCTTTATAAGTGTTTTACTTCTATTCACAGCTAAACCATTTCACAAGTTTTATACAAAATTAGTCAAAATGTCTCGTTCTTTTGGATATTCTCAAGAACAAGATAAAATTTTATCTCAAATTTATATGGAAATTTCTCAAGATCCAATCAAAAGTGTTTATCAATCATCCAATCAGTTTTGGTCTTGTGTGACAGAAGCTTATAACAACAGAAACAAAAAATACAAATTGGAGTGAACATTCAAGAAACTTTTTGCAAGCTCGAATGCAGCTTATTATGAAATTGACAAAGAAGCTCCATGCATACATTAGACAATGTGAAAACAGACGTCCAAGTGGTGTTTCAAATAATGATATTATAAGATTTAATATATAGTTTCTAAATTTATTTATCTTTTTATTTGTTTGATAATAATATTATTTTCAATGGTTTGGAGTTTAACAAAGCCAAAATAATGCTAGCGGAAGATCCAAATTTTAAAAGTGGCTAGAAATTCGATCATGTTTGGGATATTTTAAAGGACTTTGAAAAGTTTCAAAATGGTGGCACCTCTACACAAACGAAAAATTCTAACTGCTACAGAAGCATTTCCAGGCTTGTCTTCATTTTTTCCAGATATAAATGAATATGAGATTATTGGTGAGTCTCCTTTTCAACAACTAAGTGGAATAAAAAAATCCAAAATGAAAAAAAAAATTGATGATGAAATATCAGCTGTTATTAACACTATAGAAGAGAGAAATAAGCTACTTTGGAGCAATTAAAGAAGACAAGTGCACAAAGACAACACCATTTGGAGATTCAGAGTAAGAACTATGCCTTAATAGAATTTAAGGAAGAAAACAAATTTTTGTTCCAAGACTTGAATTCGATAGAAGATCAAAATCATTGTGTATATGTTCAAACTGAACAAACACAAATTTTACGAAAAAGGGCCGAACAACAACAATATCAACAATATCCACCTCAATCTTCTTCATTTGGACAACTTCTTGGTGATTTCAGTAGATCCGGAAATGATTTATCGGAATATTAACTCATTAATTGTTGTTATATTAAAAATATTTTATTTTATTTTAAATTTGAGTACTTTTAAAGATCGATTATAGTTGATGTTATTATATTTTTTATTAAATAAATATTATTTTCGTTTAAATTTTAATATTTTAATATTTATAACTAATCAATAATAAGAAATTATTAATAAAATGATAATTTATTAGTTTTAAAGTACAAATATTTAAAACTTGAAGGACCACTTTATAAATAAAAAGGTTCAATTCTATAATAGAATTGAGAATGAGATAGATAGTTCTAAATTTAAAACAAAAAATAGCATTATTCTATTTTAAAATCAAAAATAAAATAGAGCTTGAACTAAATTTATACCAAAATAGAATATAATACCAGATTTTACGAGTTGAAAATGCTCTAAGAGACAACATTTACTATAGTTTTGATTTTGATTTTGATTTTGCAATTACCTAATGGATAATTAGAATTACTTTTACCAAATAGTATTAGATCGGTAAATATATGGATTGTGCTGATATTTGGATTTTAAATGGATAATTAGAATGAAACAGGATAAGCAGGGGATCAAAGAGTTAATGCATAAACTGGGTCGAAAGAGTTATAAGTCAATGTTGTAAATCCCACGTTTTATAAGTTTAAATTTTAATCTATGGCTAAAAAATTCACTATTTTTGCCTCGCCATATTTCGTAATTCGTATGACCATCACATCACACATAGCTAAGTTTAGACTGCATAAACAGAAACGCACAATACAATTTCAACAAACACAATCCCTTTGACAACTACATTAAAAATATCAACCAACTTCAATAAACACAGGCACATTACTGTAATTAATGATCTCATCATCATTCATCACTTCATAAAACTCATTATACCTCTCAACAGGCCTTCTCGGCCCTGTCTCTTTTATTCATACAACAATAGTACTAAAAAGGTAATCTTTTGCTACTTTTCTGTATCAATTTAAGATACTTTTATATAAAATAAAACGTATTTGTAGTAGTTTGTTACTTTGTAAGGAGGATGAGTGTGTTTTTTCATCACTGGTTCCCTGTAATGGGAGCGTCACGGCCTCTCTTGAAATCGTCCCAGCCTCTAACCCATGGCTCTCCAGCCGCTGCACGAGTCTCGGGTGCTGCATGCTTGTTCAGATTCTTCATGACTTTCTCGTGTAACGCCATGAATACCTTTTTATCATCACAACAATTATTGTTTTAAGTCATTGGAGTATAAAACAAAAGATGATATATATCTATACTATCTAAACGTAAGGATTGATTATGAGATTATGGTTTACCGGATTTGAGCTCACTGCTTCTGGAGGCTGTTCTTGAGCAGTTAGCCATTTCCAGAGATCAGGGTTTTCCTGCAGAGAGCCAACAAAACTATTTATCAAATTCTTGTTTGAATTCACTATGAAGTATGAGCAGAATCAAGTTTTTAACCAAATTATTGTGTTTGACATCTAACAACTAGAGAAAGCTAATATTGTGTGTGTTTCTGACCAGTTAGCCATTTCCAGTGATCAGGGTTTTCTTGCAGAGAGTCAGCAAAACAATTTATCAAGCAATTCTGTTCAAGAAGGATTGATTTTACAGATTCCTGATTCACCATCTGCTCTTATCAAATCCAAATTATTATGTTTGACATCAAATTTACTACAGAAGGCTAATCATTCAACAATTGAAAAACCGGATAACATTCCTCAACTCTTAACTGGATCATTTCGAGCTTTTGATCACTGGAACAACTTCATTATAGCTTAACGATTCACACATATTATATACTCAAACCTTCCTACATAATCTTGTAACAAGATTCCTCCATACTAGTAATTTCGTAGCTTCAAATTCTCTTATAACGTTCATCTCTGTGTCTCAAAATAATATGCACAAACATATACACAAGACTCATATGAGCAATACACCACATGGAATTGGAGTTAAACCCTAGAGACGGGGAAAATTTTCTGATCAAGAGACAATGAAACATACCAAATCGAGGACATGAATTAGGGATTTGACAGCGTTTTCGTCCATGGAATTGACATTCTCCTCAACCCAATTCCCCAAAACCAAATCAAGTTCCAGAAACCCTCGTTGATTGCTCCTATACAACAATCTATTCACACGAAAAAACAAAACCCAAAAACTCAATCACCAACATTTGATTTTTCTAAACAAGGAAGAATTAAAAAATTAAACATACCTGTTGATCGTTATCCTCTTGTTCTCTTCGCTAGAGAGATCGATATCAAAATTCTGGGGACTCGCGGTGTTCCCGCAGAAGAATCTCGGCGCAAAATCAATTTCATTCCTAAAATTCGGAAAATTACGAGAGTTTACGCGAACGGAAAGATCACATCTTCCTTAAAGTAAATCATTTCGGTGGAGAGAGAAAAGAAAGTACCGGAAAGTAGGATGTGTTCGGGTTGCGACGGTAGGAAAAACGGTTCTCCGGCCAACAACCGCGGTGGAGCGGATTATCCGATGGAAGTTAATCAGAGCTTTTCGGCTGGCCATTTATGTTTTCTCACGGCGAATGTAGAAGGCGATGTTTATTGTAGTGAAAGGAGAACATCAAAACTGGTATTTATGGGCCCATGATAGGCCTACACTTGCCGTGGCCTTATTCTGACCGCATAGGATTTTTTTTTTGACAACGACCGCGTAGGATTATAAATATTTTTGTGTGTTTTTGGAGTGATTTACATATATAGGTACTTTGGAGTTTTACCTTACATCTAAAAGCACTTTCAGGTTTGGGTTAATTTTTTTTGAAAATAAGTTTTGGCGTTCCCAAAAATATCCTTATTGAAGGGGTTTGTAATTATGTACAAACATGGTAAATCAAAGCTTTTTCCATCGGCTGGTGTACGAAATTGGAGGCAGCTGCGCAGCCATGGGTTCCCGACAATGGAAATGTGCATGAATTGGTGCCTATAATCGGCATCTGCAATCAACTCGTAACCGAAGATCGTCGAAACAGAAACAACGTAAACTTGATTGTTCAACATCGTTGCACAAGTTTTTCTAATATTCAGAGTGCAGGATGTGAAACGGTTGGTGAAGGAACATAAATTGTTTATGGGTATTGTCGAAGCAGTAGTAGTTCCATTATTGATGTCCGAAATTACTGATTGTGTTAGTTTATATTTCTATCAATTTACTAATGATTTTGTTTTTTCTTTAACTTTCTTTTTCTGCTTCATCTGTTTGACATTTGTTTACCTCTACAAATGGTTGCAGATTGGGTATATGAGTTTGAATAAGTATGTTACTAGATGGATATTTAGAGATAGACAGAAAGTGTGGCATGTGAGGTTATGGAGGTCGGGTGTGCATGGACATGAGTCAATAGATATTCTGCTTCATGATGGTGTCGTGAACTGTATGTGAGATGTTGAAGAAGACACGGGCCGATGGTCATAGAACCAAACATTTTTACTGATATAGCGAGTGGACTGAGATGGGTGCAGAAGTCTTCGCTGGTAATGGTTGTATACAGAACGGATGTATGAATCTACGATGTAGTATTTGTGCATTTGGGTGAGTTTAATGTCTATGGACAACAGAGAACATATATGGATAAAGTCGGATGGATGATACTTGAGATGATGTAATATTATGCACACAATGGACTGTGTATTATGGATGGACGTGTGTGGATAAAGTTGTATTGATGTGGTTGGGATGGATAGACTTGTGTGGATGAAGTTGTATTGATGTTGTTAGAACGATCTAATGATTTACTAAGCTTACATAGTTATAGACACGTTTGTGTAAAAACGTTTTTGTGAACACATTTGTGTGGATCAAAACATGTTTGTATTATTCACAAAAATATTTTCAAATATACAAAAATCATACAACGTTTACTCATTCTTACGTGATCTTTGTAGTGTTTGTACCAAAACGAGAAAAGAATCTAAAAAAAAATCGCACGAGAGAAAGTTTCCAAACTTGATACATAGACTAATCTTGCATGATCATGGACATGTTTGTGTGGTGGTATTCACATGTACCTTTGCGTGGCCGTATATTCATGGACGCATTTGTGTGTACTTTTGTCTCCTGTTTATGTGGACATGGTTGTGTGGACGAAGATTAAGAACAAACCCTTGTGGCCCTATCCATTATTCAAACGATTCAAGGCACTCTCTCATTCATTCGGTAAAAAGCTCTAATGATTTGCATTCCATTCCAAGATAATAGGTCCACGAAAACCTGTCCACAACAAAAGCTAAAATATGATAGCTGCCATAACTTATTCTTGAAAATCTGTCCACGACCCCAAGTATTATCAACTCAGATTAAGTTTTGATGATAGTTGGTCCATAAAAACCTGCACACGCCAACAACAGCCACACAAAAGCCACACAAAATTATCACATGAAAAGGAAAGAAGATAAGCAAAAGTTTTTAGCAAGAAAGGCAATAAAAAATTCATTCACATCATGTTCTATTCATAAATTGAACAAAGGGAAAAACAAAACCCACACTTATGAAGATTTGGGCAAAAGTCGCAAGAGATTGCAGTAACCAAATCTACGAACAAGATCTTGTCCATCATTAATTATCCATCGGCAATATTTACAAGATCTTGTCCATGATAAAATCAAGTTTGGAATCCCAACTAAATTCAGCTGGAACGAAGCTCTCACGGTGAAAATTGGAGAAGTTAACAAGTCCAGAAATCGTTAATTGCTTGCTCTATGAGATGAACAATTATTTATCAGAATAATAGGATTATTTCAGAGAAAATCAAAATATTTTAGACTGGGCAGGTTCAACAGAATTAAAAATATCCAAATTCAAACAATCGAGTCTTAAAAGATTACAACAGACATATAAATTATTTTTCGATACCTTCCATGTAGTTGTAGTGTGTCACCGACGATTGGGCAGGTCGATCAAATAGAACTTGAATTGTCATTTTCGCTGTGCTTTGCCGTTGAATTGCTGCAAATTTCAATTGTCGGAGAAATAAAAAAATTAAAATATTGCTGAGCAAGGTCGTTCGCTGATTAGAGTTTTTTTATTGCTTGAGTCTAGAATCGAATTTGGGTCTTCTTGACGAACATGTGAAAAAAAATAATAATTACTTCGAAATTCACCTGGTTTTTCGAACTATAGATGCTCCAGAAGCAATCCGTGCAGATAACTCAGCACGACGCTTCTCCTCCTGAAGTTTCTAGGTGCTTTTACTAAAAAATGTAAATGAGTTGATTTTAGTCAAAAATGAAAAACTTTTTAAAAAGGTTATTTTAGTATTTTTAGCTTTTGAAAGTCTACTGGTAATCGAAAGTATCTTTAGATATAATTTAAATTTAGAAAAGTGCCTTTGAATGTTATTAACTCGTGTTTTTGCTCACTGTGTGGAAATTAATATCAGATAAAAAACAACAAATCCTATTAGAACATTTGAAATCCTAACTAATAAAATGGACTGTTTGGGGTTCTGGTTGTGTCCACATTAGCAAAAAAATAATCCTAAATCGATGACACGTCAGCATTGTAAACTAAATACTCACAAATCTGTTAATAATATATGGATTCGATATTTATTAAACCATATTCGTTTGGCCCATTTAAAAAAAAATATACGCATTGTATCGTTTATGTGAGCTTAAACGAACATTTTAAAATGGTCTACTCAATATCATTTATGGAATTGGATTTGGGCTGAAGCCGAAAACGAGGACTCATAATAGTGGGCTTGACTTGGGCTGTATTAAGAGAAATCAAAACGGGCCACTTATAGTTTGCTAATAAAAAAAAGAACACTAATTAAAAAACAATGAAACTCCTCTTCTCGAACATTCATCTTTCTCCTCCACACTACAGCTTCCAAAACGTAGATTGGTAATCGATTTGTCTCCCCTTTTTTTCATCTTCATTGCCCACTCTGTTCTTTCAATTCAATGACTTTAATCACCAAACCCCTCATATTTTCTTACTCCACTTCACCAATTTATGGAGATCCGTTTCAAATATGCCTATATATGATTAACACCCACCACCACACCATCTCTCCATCTCTCGCCCACAAAAGTACTGAAATCAAAAGATGTCACCACCAGCCTCTTCGAAGCCTCTCACCACCAAGACGTTTGATGGCCGTCAAGGAGATTTTTGCAAGGATGAAATTCTGGTCAGGCTCATTCACTTTTGGGAGGCTCGCAATTTCAGACAAGGGAATGCACTGATGGGTGTAGAACTACTCCTTATTGACACAAATGTAAGTAGAGAATCGTTAATTTCTAATCAAAATTACTTTCTCAACATCTATTTCTGGGTTAGCTATTTTTTGGGGTGTGACCTTTATTCTGTTACCTTTACTGAATATATTGCCATTTTATGTCTCTGAAATCCTGAGGGTTATTAATTCCAAGTTCTGATTGTTTTCCAGAAACCTTTGTTTTGTAAATGTTGGATTTTGATTCAGTTTGTAAGTATATCCCTGCAGGCAACAACAATTCAAGGATTCATATCCGCCAATCGGCTATTCCGCTACAAAGACAAACTCAAGCGTAACTCAATTTACAAACTCAGCAAGTTTGTGTCCAACCCTTCCAAGAAACTCTACAGGGTGGCATCGCACAAGTACGGCATCAGCTTCACCGACCAAACACTTTTTGTGGCGGAAAATGCAGAAAACTCTGAAATACATACCCAGCAGTTTAGGTTACGCCATTTTGAAGATTTGGCATCAATGGTGGACAAACACACAGACCTCTTCGGTAAGTATAAGTATCTCTAGCTACTTATACTACATATCTTTCTCGAAATAGTTTTGTATGTTTATGTTTGCAGACATTGTATAGTTTTATAGTTTTGTATATCCTTTGAAACTCACCTACTCTTTCCATTGTAGATATTGTTGGTCAATTATCCCTCATAACTGGAGATAATTTACACAGCCCAACTCCAATGTCTACAGCTCCTAACGGAGGTGATGGAAAATCTAAAGACATGATATTCTTACATGTCCAACTGGAAGAGTAAGCTCCCATCCACTCACACCATTTAAATATTGAAACCAGAATATCATCCTATTTAAATCATTTCTAAAATCTTTCACCAACCAGTGGAGAAACCGTCCGTATCTACCTTTGGGATAAAATTGCCAAAAACTTCTGTACCAGGTGGAATGAAACTGAGAAGAAGCCAGCAGTTCTCTTGCTCACCACTGTCAATCCAAAGGCAATGGGAGGTGTGTAGGTTTCCTTTCACTTAACCTTCTCTCCTACTCATATAAGTCAGGATTTTAAATTTGGTAAAATGAGGTTCATGTGTCATTGTTACATATCATTCATGTGTCATCTGGAAATCATATGGCTACACTACCTATTAACGGCTTTTACTTGATATTGATCTTTTAGTTTGCTGAAAGAACTTAAGTACGCCATGAACCATTGTTTCAGTTTTAGTATATTGGTTAAAAATACTCAAAATTTATGTATATTGAAATAGTTTGTAAATTTGTTTCAGAAACTATCTTGAATGATTCGTTTCATTATTGTTTCTTACTCACATAAACGACATTGTTGGTGAACATATCATCTTTCTACTTGCATGAAATGCTCAACGCCATGAACATCCCTAATATCTTATTCTACAGGTGTTGTGACCCTTAGCTCAACGGCATCCACACGTATTTTTTTTGACAACGACCTGCCTGAGACTCAGCTCATTCTAACAAGGTACACTTAAACAAACATTACACTACATCATAAACATTTACGCTAATTTTATCATAGTTCGTCAAAGAAGTTTGTATAATATTCATAACCTCCACTATAGGCTAGGAGAAGATGGGCAACAACCACCCTCCGTCAACAGCTCCTCCTCTGCGGTCACTAAGCTCGAAATTGTTACGCTAAACGAGATTCACCAGTTCTTAGCAACCGCAACTCCACAGGTAGTAATCGCTTACTCAACTTCTTAAAATTTGGGAAATATACAAATTTTTAAACACCACCATTATATCCAGATCGCCAGTTTCGTTTGCTCTGCAACCATTGTGGATGTACAGGAGAACACGGCTGGCACTTCATCTCATGCACCACCTGCAGGTCACAAATGGGCAGGACAGAAACATATTTGTACTACACAAATTCGCAGTGTAAGAAACTCAATAACGTCGGTGTTAACAGGTTCGCTATGTTTTAAAAATAAGAGCACCAAAATATACACTCTCTGAAAAACGATACATAACTTATTGTCTATATATGAAGGTACCGTTTTGAAGTTACTGTCCGTGATGCTGACGGCTTGGCAACCTTTGTCATCTGGGACAAGGAAGGTATCAAGCTGGTTGGAAAAACTGTTGCAGAAGTAATTAAGGATATGGAAGAGGTATGCTTACAAATACACTAATTTTTGACTACACATAACTGTAATTTACATGTTTCTCTTAATATCAACCTAGGATGATGGAAATGATAAAGAGGAAGACCTCCCCACAGAAACGCCCCAATGTCTACAAGATATTGTAGGCCACACATGTAAATTCCAGGTTAAGCTTAAACCATATAATTTTAGTGCTCTTCGCCAGACTATCTCAGTTTCGCAAATGATTTTATGTCGACTTCAGTGTTGTTTTATCTTCTTTTTTTATCTTCAAGGTTTTCGGTTTGATTTAAAAACTGAATGTCATTTGGTTCAGTCTTAGTTTGCAAGCACAATTGGTTTATCTTTTGAAGAACTATCCATATTATTAATATATTTTGTTTTCCTCCTTAGTTTTACATTTCGATTGAAATATATACAGTGCAATTGTAAACCGGCTTTCTAAACTGAAATCTGGCAACGGTTAGTCTCTTACTGTGGTCCAGTTTGGTTTGATTCAATCTAATATTAATTGTATTTTATTATGGGTGTAATGATTACAGATTTCTCAAAAAAAATTGTATTATATTCATATGATAGATCCACTTATGAAAATGTGCATTACTTTGCGTTCGCCTTTTTTCCCCTCTTTCACGTTGCATTAATCAAACATGCAACCAACGATTAAAACATAAAACTCACAACAATGACTATCATACCAACCGTTATTATCATACCATAAAAACAATGATTTCAAAATCTCTGTAAATCCACTCACTCTTAGGGGAAAACAAAACACAAGAATATTTCACAAATTTTAATTTCAGGACCAATATTATAAAGCTGTCTATATGGGATGCACAAACAGCAAATTTTTACCATACACTACACATCAAAGATAGAAAGTATATAACCATGCTCATCATAACCCTCATTTTAAAAATATACAAAGATATTAACTTTTAAATAAAGTATTTACTATACAACTTTTTCTTTTACCAACTACATTTAACTATATAATTTAATACTCCAAAACAAATACAGGAAAACTTCACCTCCATTCTATCCTTCTAACAAGATTTTTCTTCAACCTTCTACATACATCAACGAAAACTCAAGAAGATCATACATTGAAGTCTCGTGAACAAATTTGGCAAAATACAAAATTAAATAATGTCGAAAATAAATTGTACCACAAGATAAGAGTGAAATCAATACTACTATTCAATAAAATTAGATTAGTAAATAAATATATAAACTCTTACGCATATACTCACAAATTAATACAGCGAAACATCAACATTAACCTACCAGATATTATACTTTATATATGTAAATACTATTAGAACTTAAATAAATAAAATAATCAACAAATTGATTGGATTAATATGTTTAAAACTATAAATGAAAAAATTATTAACACAAACCGTGCTATGCAGAGTTAAAATCATTGTCTATTATATAAAGATTCAGTTGAGTCTCATAACCTGACAGCACCCCTCTCCATAACATCTCAACTCTAATTTTTTTATTTTTTTATTTTTTTCAGTTCTTTACAAATCTCTTCGATTAAAAAAAAAGATCATCTAACGAAGCGTTTTCTCCAAAATTTAATTCATTTTGTTGAATATAATCAACATCACTAAAACAAAAAAAAATTGAGAATGGAGAAGAAGATCGAGGTCAAATCCGATCAGAAGTCGGATTTTCATCCGCCGCTGCAGCACCCTTTTCATAATTCCGGCTACCGTTCCCTCCCTTCGGGGAGCAGAGACATCATCATGATTTCAGCCATGGAATTCATATGGGCATAGCTTCTTCTTCTCCGACTATTCAGCCGTTGGTTCCTCCTCCTCTTACTCCTCTATTGTTAGTGTTTGCGGATCTCGATACTCTTCGTCGACGGAAATCACGATCGGATCCCAACGGACCTCTTTCTGATTCCGCATCCAGTACCGATGCTTTCCCGTTAGATGATGTTGGAGCTCCGTCCGACGCTAGGGATCGGATTGAATCAGCTGTCGACGACGCTCAGGGAACAACGAATTTGGCAGGAGATAACGGTGGAGATACCGAAATTAGGGAAACTGGTGGAGGACGAGGCGGCAGTGACCCAAGAGGAGAAGTCGATACAAGGTATATGTATCGTCCGTCGGTTCCAGCTCATCGGTGGGTGAGGGAGAGTCCACTCGGCTCTGACGCAATTTTCAAACAGGTAAATGTCAGATTCTACTCTTGACAATCTCCGAATTTGGTGCTTGATACCCTCTAATATTAGAGGAGAATTTCAAATTGAGTTTCATGTTAACTTTTGGAGATCAATTTCTTCATTTCATTTGACTCGAGTTTGTGTTGTCTTCCATGGCAGAGCCATGCCGGATTATTCAACCTGTGTGTAGTATTTCTTATTGCTGTAAACAGTAGACTCATCATCGAGAATCTGATGAAGGTTAGTTACTTTTTTCTCCTATGGCTTGAAAATTGAATTAGGGTTTGTTCTTGAGCTGAGAACTTGATCAGAGACCTTACCTTTGTTGTTGCTAAACGAGATAAAGCTACATACACAACCAACAGAATCAACAGTTTGTTAACAGAGGTGAAAGTTTATTGAGAGTTAATTATTTGGAACTCCATCATTTGGATGCCGAAAACTCATGATTGTGTCTTGTGTTTCATTCATCAGGTTAGGTCCCTTAGGATGAACGGCTCGTGCGCACCTTCTATGAAATCGGTTTCGGTGGTCCATGGTAAAATGTCTTTTTTTGTTTGGTTTTGCTTTGCTTGGATATTAAAAAGTTTGTTCTTTGCACAAACAAGACTTGATCTAAAACTGCATTTATATCAAATCACAGGGACATTGTAGCAGGAATTGTGATCTTCAGAGAAGCTGGTGAACTCATTTTTGATCCGTAAGGGTTTTTATTAGTTAAAGCCAACACACTTAGTGCCACAACAGACCAAGCTTTAATTGTTTTATTTATTTTATATGTATGTGCTTTTAACTGTTTTATTTATTTTGTATGTATGTGAAATGATCAGATCGGGTAAAGATTTGGCAATCACATCGCGGAGAATTGCGGTGTCAAATGTGTCTCTCAAGGAGTTGTTCGTCGCTCCGAGCTAGGTACATTATCTTTATTTTCCGATTATCTCCATGACCGGTATCCACTTTGTCTCAAATCCTTTGTTTCTAAACAGATAAATTTTGTTGAAGAAAAAGTGTTCTTCAAAAACTTTATGAATTTGATATGATGTTTTTCTTCGATCATTGTTTATATTTGATTCTTGGAATAAAGGATTTCATTTGGCTTCTCGAGTGAATTAACATATTTTAGATCTACTTCTTATGGAGTTGAGCTCGGCTTGTTATCAGATACTATTTTTCTCTACGATTGATCGACTCTTGATTTTGCAGAGTTGGACGAGATGGGAGGTACTGGAGGTACCATGTTTAGAAGCCCCCACGACATCTGATTAAAGGTTTTTTAGTTGCTTTATTGTTTTTCTTGTAGGTATGATTAAATGTTGTTAGTGTGTTAATATGGTTCAACTGGTTTTCAGTCCAACTATGGAAATAATTTGGAGCTGTAGTGATCGGTTGTAAGATGTTTCTTTGAAGCTTTTAAGTCTTTTTTTTTTTGTTTCGGTAATGTACTTCTCTGTTTGTCGCTGTACAAATAAAGACAATTACATGAATAAGATTTAATTTTAAATCACATTTGAACATTGATATTTATTGTCTACTTCTACGATTGGTAGCTAAAAATAGATGGATGGATTTAACTTAGTTGCTTTTGTTCAAGCTATTTTCTACTGATGTGTATATGTTTTTTTTTGGGATTCGTTTTATGGCATGGTTAATCGGGAGAAAAAATAAATAATCAACTTCTCTTCTCTAATTCAAATCTGGTATTACAAATTTATGTGTGAGAAAATTTGATAAAGAGAAAGATATGGAGTTTGATATGAAATTGTATTTTCCATTCCCAAATTCGTGAAGTAGTATATGGTTTCTACTCCTATTTTCTACTCCTATGCATCACAAAATTTCATAAATGCTAGATTTAATCTTACAGATGTTTATGGAAAATTATAGATTCCAATATATTCAGTCTCAGGAGGCTGAAAATAAGTATACATGTACTTATGTATGTGATATACGTTTATATCTGTCGTATTAACCAAGAACAGTTATTCAAATTTGATATTTTTTTTAAATAGATATAGATAAATGCAACAACAACAAACCATAAAATATCTCAGATTATAATATATAAATTATTAGATTAATGATGGTCAAATAAACAAAAATATAAGATTAAAAAATCTTTTTCCCACACAAAAAAGCTTCTCAAAAAATATTTTCGTAACTAATTAAAAAAGTTATATAAAAATAAAATATAGAGTAAAAATTCCGTGCATATGTTTAAACATGATCAAATGATTTAATATATAATTCCTCTAAACAATTGGCATGTTTTGATTATAAACTTTTTATCTATTTTTTTGTTAAAAATTATGTGCACTAAACTATCTTTTTAAAACTTAGTACATATTTTTGAGATGCAAAACTTCTTATACATGACAATATCAATTGTGAAATCAATTCAACAATTCGAATATTGCTTTAATATATTAGAAAACAAAAAATCAAAATCAACAGTTTTTTTTATCAACTCTCATTTAACATATAATAATAGTTTTTTTTAATCAATGCTTTCAATTCTCACAACTAATAAATTAAAAATTAACATTATATTAACAGAAAGTTTGTAAAAAAACACATACATAAAATTATAAAAATCAAAAATCAAAGAAATTTTAGCGATATTTAATATAGGTTAAAAGCACTTTAAAGCAAATTCAGTTTTTTTTTAAAATATCAAATTCTTGAATTTATCTAATAGAATCAATAAAAATGTATTCATCAACTCACATATATTTTAGTAAAAAACCTGCATATGAATTAATTGAAACTATATTTATATATTTACATAACAAATTCAAAATTATATTATCACTATATTTAATTTTTAAAATATCATATTAATCATACATATAAAAATATGTGGTTAAATATAAACCCACGTGTACACATCAGCCTTGTTGTGTGATTAGAAGTTGATTGGAGGTTCACATGCTTTGTTTAATTTTTAAGAAATGTTCGATTTGTTCGAATCGAGTTTTGGTGACAGAACTTGGATTTTTATTTGGTTTGTTTTTGCCAAATCTGCAGTTGCCACGCCTGAGCAGATTAAAACTCTCATGAAAGTCGATGGTTTCACCAATGACAAAGCTAAAAGCCATTTTACAGGTACAAAAAATTCATTCTTTCCTATTTATGAAAACGGTAATCAATAGCCTTATAGGGTTATTTTTGTTCTTCCTATCGACCATGAGGCGGAGAAGACCGACACGGCGGTGAATTCGCGGCAGAGAAACCCTTTTAAAATCTTAGCCCTCACTTTTGAAAACTAAGTGTTGGGCAAGGCCTCAATCTCGACATGGTTCAGAAACATGGCTCACAAGCTTGAGTATTCCCTCACACTCAATCTCAAGGTTCTTCTCTCTCTCACAAGTTTGATGTGCTTAGCTTTCGATTTTTGTAATCTGGGAATTGGTTTTGGGAACGACTAAAATGCTTTGAGAATTCTGCTTTTTCTTGTTTCTCCCAATTAACATTTCTTTAGTTCTGCATTCGAATCAATTGAATCAATATGTTCATAATTAAAGACATTTGGTTTTTGATGAAAAAAGTAAATCTTTGATGTTAAAGATTTACAAAAGGGCTTACTTTGTGTTGGGATTTGCTCTTTTTTGTTGCAATTTTATGCTGATAGGTTTTGATTCCTCAATGTGTTTATAGAACTACATTCACATGGATCGAACTCAGTATTACCCAAAATCACATCTTTTTAAAGTATCAGACCATTTTATTTTCTAGACAATATGTTTCATGCGTTATTCAAAATTTTCGAGTAAGATTTGAATGGTCACTCACTCACATGATCAGGGAAAAAAATGTATTCCTTGACTTTAGTTCTCATAGTAACCTTCATAATTTGATTTCTCCATGTCGTTTTTCTGCTGCATATCCTTACTTACGGTTTGTGTATAGTACTCGATTTATACCACATTTGACTTAATTCAACCGTACTTTAGGACCTGACACCAGAGAAAAAATACTTGAAAAGCCATACACATTCTCTTCAAGGTAATATATTATGTAGTACATTGGTTAGTTGTTATTTAATTGTTATATCTGTACATAGAACTTCAGTCTTATATATGTTCTTTTGTCAAGGTAAAAGATTCTACTGAAAGGTTCAATAATAATTATCTGTGTTTCATTATGCAATTGGGTTTTTCTGGTGTAGATTCCTTGATCATTGCTGTTATACCAAAGTGACCAGTTGGAGTGGAGGAGACCTATGATGATGATGAATTGGTAAAACTATCGACATTTGATCTGATATTTAACTCTTGAAGAATGGTTTCTTTAGTTTCTATCCTTTTAAAATCTCATTTAGTTGTTTTGGCATTGCAGAAACTTTAGCTCCCATCGTCAGCAAGCCAGTCGAAGAGGAAGTTCCGCGTACCAAGTTGAAGCTTCCCGGTTAATTCATTAACCTTTGGGTCTGACTGGTATGTCAGATGAATAACAGAATAGCGGAATAACTGAAAAATTATTAGCGGAATGAACTGAACTGAATAATATTTTAGCTGAATAATTGTGAAACGCTGAAAAGCTAGTTTTAGTAGATTAATCACGTTTTGTTTTTTTTAGTTATATTTTTAACACACTAACGGAATCACGTTTCAAAAACATAAAAAAACGTGAAAACGTGAAAACGTGATGAATAACATGAATGGTAAAAAATAACAGAATCAAGTTTCCAAAACGTGAAAACGTGAAAAAGCTGCATACTATTCAAACCCAAACATGCATCATCTGAAATTTTCAAGAATGTTTGAAACAATTGTTCATTGATCTGGTGTTAAATGGCAAAACTAAATTTCAGATTCAGTTGCTCATATGCTAGAAGATCTTGCTTCATTCAATTGCCGCATTTACTTGTATGCTACCAACAACCTGTTTGAGGATTGTTAACAAAAATATTTGTAAGCTACCAAAAATGAAAGAATCAAAAAGATCTAATTTTATTCTCTCCAAAGATATACACTTTGTGGAGTCGACTCATCAAAATCATTGCAAACGTGGCATGGATAAATATCATATCTGTACGTGGTTTAAATTAAAAGAAATAGGCCGTTAACGATAAACTGTCAAGAATAAATTGTCGTAATAGAGACTGATTTTTAAAAAAGCTCTCTTTGGTAGAACATTTTTTATTTTCTAATATTATGCAGAAAAAACTGTATTTTTGTGTAAAATGTAAACTGATAAGAAAATCTACTAATCATTTGAATCATTAAGCTAAAGATTGAGTTGAGACCAAATTTCGTAAATAGCATAACAGTCTGAATTAAAAGGCATATGATCAGTCTAATGCTAAGGTCAACTTGGTTTTGTTTGAACCAAGAGAACATGTTAATATATTAATAACATTCTTGAATAAAATAAAAAATTCACATATTAGCAAAATATTAAATTAATTAAAATATGTCACTTAGATTTTTACATATATAACTAAAATTAGACACGTCATGCAAATTCTTCAATTCTCTATGCTTCTTTGACAAATCCACATCTGAAGTCTATATTCGATAAGAAAAAAATAGTTTATCTGAAAAGATCAATGGTATTGAAGTCGAGCTATAAACTTTACAGAAATAGAGAAGTAAACTCAAGGAGGAGTTAAGAACTAAAACATAAAAGAACGCTCAGTTACATGATAAAATCAACCAAGCATCTACTAAAACAATTAATAATCTAGACATAACATATTAACAATCTGCAGCAGGAACTTGATTCTCTACCGGTAAAGAAGAGCAAAATCGAATCAGGACTTGATAGAGAGAAGCAAGAGAAATCAGGATTGTCCAATCATATCGACGATGTCAAAAAAGCATTGATGAAAAAAGAAGCTGCTTATAATATGTTGGGAGAAGAAACACTTAAAAAGCAGCTAACAAAGGATCACAAAGAAGCTCAGAAACTGTTGGAAGAGACATGTAAGGAAGTAACATCAAGAGATTTTGAAATTGCAGATTTGCAGGCCATGAACAGACGATGGAGAGTTTACGTAATGAGCTGGGAATGAAAGGAGACGAGATAGAAACTCTCATGGAGAAGATCGGTGACATTAAGGTAAAGTTACATGTATCGCATTAGAAATCGAGGGTAGCCAAACATGTATTAACGGAGAAAGAAGAAGCTCAGAACATTGATTGAGAAAAGTCTCACAATGACACATGAGACTTATCGAGGTATGCTAAAAGATATAGCAGAGAATATGAACAGACCACTAGATGGGTTTCAATCAATATCGGGAAAAGTCACTGAGAAACATGAGAAGTATGAGAAAACGGTAATGGAAGTTTCAGAAAATAATGTGGACTGCGAAAAAGTGGATTATATAAAGGAATCACGAGAAGGAGAATATGAGAAGGAGACAATAAAGAAGTTTTTGATGTTGCTCGATAATTGAGTTTTGTTAACGGTTGCCAACCTTTCGGTCGTAATGTTGCAGTGTGGTAGTTATGTCTGTGACTTCAGAGAGAAAATGACATAACTATTTACTTGAAGTATCTGTTTTGTGTCATGCTCATCATTTATCCGATACTTACTATTAAGGGGTGAGATTGTATAGAAGGATTAATGCTTTTGGTATAATGTTTTTGGTTGTTTTGTGTTTGTGATATATGTCTTTTTCATATCATACAAGTCACTCAAACTCTCCAAGATCATGATCTCCAAAACCTCCATAAGAGAGAGGGATAAATATTGTTAGTAGCCACAGCTAATAGTGTAAAAAGTGTATCTTGATCCATTAGATTCTTTTTATTTTGTTATTATTTTACAATTATCAGAATTGATTATATTTGATTGTATGCCATTAGTTCTATGAACCATGGAAATATACCAGTGTAAATAAATTTGAAAAATTGTTCCATCAAACTGAGAAAGAGAATTATTTACAATAAAAATTATAATAAGTGTTCGATCAAAGTTGAGAAAGAGAGTTTGATTAAACAAACACTAATAATTTACAATAAAAAATAATAATTGGAGTTTCGAAAGACTTGCATAGATACATGCATTTGTATTCAGTTACTGTAAGATTTTAATCAGTTTTGTTAATAATTTTTACTATTTTTTTCTCAAAATAAATAAGATATAGTTTAGGAACAGAGATTCTAAATATATATCAGTACTCGAAACCAATGTTTAATTATAGTGTGCCCAAGTTATCATATGTTCGCAGTAATTAAAATTTAATTATTTAATTTCAACTAAATTGATATTTTAACAGTTCAAACAAAATTTTCTATTTAGTTCCAAGAACAATAGCAATGGTTTTGATGTGAGTAATATAGATTATAGTTTGATGGTTTTAGAAACATATTTGATAAATAAATAAATTTTATAATTCAAAATAATTATATTAATTAATAAATCTTTTTTAAAGTGGTATTTTGCTTTATATAATTACAAGAAATGATCAAGTGGCAACTTAGTAAAAAAAAATAGATTATATTTGTCATTAGTATGAAGATACTTAAAAATTATATTACTTTATTCTCACATATATATTTATAGTTAGTTTGTTAAACAAATTTGATAGCAAATTATAATTTTGAAAAAACAACCAAAGATATATAATGTTTATTCAAATATAAAACATACAAATACATAAATTAAGGTAATAAAATATAAATATAATATTTATTTACAGTATAAAAAATAATTTTATTATATTAAAAATATAACACAAAATTTAGAAAAATATTGCGCAGCATAGCGCGGGAAAATACCTAATACATTTCAATTTTTTTTGGAATGATTAAAGATTGGACGAATTGTTGGTCATATGAGACAGGTAATAGTTGATATACTTTGACAGAAAGACTTGGATCAAGTAATCATACAACTTCAAGATACAAATGTTACAATTTACAAATGCTAATGGAATTTTATTTACCTCTAGCATCTATGTCTACATTTCATAAAAATATATGTAAAATATGTTTTTTTTTTCAAATATTTTTGTTTTTATAAACACAAACACGAAAATAATGCTTTTCAAGATTTTAGATTTAAGAACATCTTTATTTCATTCCATTTTTTTATTACAACTTATTTTGGAGTAAAAAAACTTTCAGCTGTATTTTATTTTTAAAAAGGTGATATATTCTATTTTTCTTATTTATTACTCCACTTTTTTAAAAGAAAAATTAGAATAAATTCAAGTCCATTTTAGAAAAAAGAATAAATTTGGAATAAAACTCAACTGCATTTTGAAATTATTATGGATTTTTAAGTGAAAATATGTATCTATCAGTTAGATATACTTTAAATCACCAACTAGTGTTATTCTCACCCAAAAAGAAAAATTCATAGCTTTAGACAGGAAAAAGAAGAAGAAGTTCATAGCTCACGAGTAAACCATTTTTTAATATCAAAATCAGCCTGAAAGTTTTATAGAGAAATTGACATGTACAGTATATGTTTTGAAGACTCAAAACAAATATCTTTTTTTTTTTCATTCCAAACTTAATATCTAAATTTCATTTTTCATTTTTTTTGGTCAAGTAATGGGAGACGAAGATAAGTGTTTGGCCTCGCACAACAAAAAAGAGGATAGTATTTGTTTGGCAAATGTCTTAATTTTACAACATCAAAAGCGAGTCCCAAAGAACTAAAATAAAAATGTTGCAAACGAAACCGATAAGTTGTCCAGTCTGGATTTTTTAAACCGCGATGAAACCATCCGGGTTATGTCAAATAAGCAGAATTTAAACCAAAATGCAGAATTTCGGTTTCCCAGAAACAGAAGCGATAACTAAAAATAGGAATCATTATGAATCTAAAAACGAGAGGCCACAGAAAATTCGCGCAAAAATTGGTGGAGGGATTGATCTTTGACCAACAAAAGGGATGACAAGAATCTGTGAGAGAGAAAGATGACAACGACGACGTACCTCTGTCTCCGTACACCACCATTACAATTCAGATCGGAATTTCCAGAAGACACAAAACAAGACACAGAATCGTGAAAGAGAGAAGGAGAAAGGGGCAAGAAGAAGAAAGATGGTGGGAAACAAAGATAAATCGAAAGAGAAAAAAGAGAAACGAGACAAGAGACTCCAAGAGATCTCCCTCCTTCGTACTATTCCTTACTCCGATCACCAGAGGTATATCTCTTAGTCTCTTCTTGCAATTTAATTTCGTCAATCTTCGTAACAAATCCAGAATAAATTTGGTGTCTAAATCTAACTCATCTACAATTTTTGTTAAATTCGGTTGTTTCCATTGCATTTTGATCTCTCTTTAATGTTTAGGGTTACCTGAAAACTACCATCAATATTTCAAACTGGTCTTTCTTGGCAAGCAAGAAAACCTGAATTTTCAAATTAACCTTTCGTGGCAAGAAAACTAGGATTTCTATGAGCTTTGTGGATTAAAATATGTATACATTTCAAGAAAACTTCCACAAAATTAACATATTTCAATTAAAAAAAAACTACCAAATTCGTATAAGTTTTTTCAGGTAATGAGTTAATAGATTTATTTGAACGTTGTTATGTTTTTGTCTTCAAAATCCCTCAAAATATATTATTTGGTTTTTTCTCTTTGTGATCAGGTGGTGGACCTCTGAAACTGTGGCGGTGGTAACAGGTGCGAATAGAGGAATAGGATTTGAGATGGTGAGACAATTGGCTGGACATGGCTTAACAGTGATTCTAACATCAAGAGACGAGAACGTAGGTGTCGAAGCAGCCAAAGTCTTGCAAGAAGGCGGATTCAACGTCGATTTCCACCGCCTCGATATCTTGGATTCTTCCTCAATTCAAGACTTCTGCAAATGGATCAAGGAGAAATATGGATTCTTCGATGTCTTAGTAAGTTTTGATTCCATTAACCAAAAGTTGTTAGCTCAACTGAAAAAGTATCTAAAGTAAACTCTAGTGGTCACATAATTTTGTGAAGCTTAGAACTAGACCATATTAATGCTCTGGTTCTGGACATAGACAAAGACGGGTTTCGGCCTACAACCGCATAGTCATCAAAAAAAGAGTTTTGATTCCATTAAGATTTTTCAACTTGATTTAGGCATTAAAACTTGATCTTGATGTTTTGTGTTGTTTGTAGATAAACAATGCAGGTGTAAACTACAATGTAGGAACAGATAACTCTGTTGAGTTCTCTCATATGGTCATATCTACTAATTACTATGGGACCAAGAACATAATCAAAGCCATGATTCCATTGATGAGACATGCTTCTCAAGGTGCTCGTATTGTCAATGTCACCTCAAGACTCGCTAGATTAAAAGGCAGACACAGTGTACATACCCTCTCTCACTCTCTTTGCTTTTATTAAGAGAATTCATATTTTCTTTCTTGTTAAGAAATTTAATATTTACGCATCGTTTTTTATACTAAATAGATTTTAAGTACTATATAAGTGATTTGAGCTAATCTACTTATTGTTAATTGGTTTAAATTAGAAACCCACCTAACTTGACAGTTTTTCTTGTAGAAACAAAAATTTCTGATTACACTCTCTTTAAATTTAACAGAAGCTTGAGAACGAAGCCGTGAGAGCGAAATTTATCGATGTAGACACTCTGACAGAAGAAATGGTTGACAAAACGGTGTCGGAGTTTATGAAGCAAGTGCAAGAAGGAACGTGGGAATCAGGAGGCTGGCCACATTCTTTCACGGACTACTCTGTCTCGAAAATGGCGGTGAATGCATACACAAGAGTACTAGCAAGAGAACTATCTGAGAGACCAGAAGGAGCGAAGATATATGCGAACTGCTTTTGTCCCGGTTGGGTAAAAACGGCGATGACGGGTTATGCCGGGAACGTCTCAGCGGAAGATGGAGCTGATACTGGAGTCTGGCTTGCACTGCTTCCTGATCAAGCTATCACTGGAAAGTTCTTCGCCGAGAGACGTGAGATCAATTTCTAATTGAGGACATGGGATGGGACTTGCTTGGTGTTTGTTCTTTACTCGGCGTTTCTATAAAAGAAATGTTTTATAAGTTAGTTTATAGTATGATTCTTGAAGATACAAGAGTTTGAAAAAAAAATGAAAAAAAGAAGTTTATATGAATAAACGATTTAAGAGAAATAAAATTGAGTGGAATTTGACTATTTTCTTTATTTTTCTAAAAATCTATCATTTAACATGAATTATATCATTCCCGCTTAAAAATTGAAAAATAAGACTTGTTATGCTGAATTTTATTACTCTACAAAATAAAAGAGTAATGAGTTAGTGGAAAAATACTTTTATTCCATTCATATTTTTCACTAATCATTATTCCTCTGATTCTATTCACTTACAACCATTTGCACCATTAATTTTCTGGATTTTTATCCCATTTTTTTTTATGATATTCGTTTCTAGATGTTCATAGTGATATTATCCATCATTTTCTTTCATTTCGAAGAGTAGTGTTAAATTCATTTATGCTCAATAATTCCCTTTGTGTTCGTCAATGATGCCAAGCATCAGAACCATGCGTGGTTTTCGCAATGATTGTTTCAAACTGTTTTCACTCCAAGATTTAATCAAGAAAAATATTGAAAACGAAATAATATATAAGAGAGAAACTTGAATAAAAAAAGAAGAAGTAAATTTTAAATGGAATCAACTAGGAGTCTAGGAAGTAAATCCGTAGAATTCATTTACAAGGAACACGTCTACAGTATGACTTCAACTGTATGTATAATATTTTATTAAGTTGGAAACTATAAAAAAAGAGGAAAGAGTTGAAACTGAGAAGATCATATCCTGTTAACGCAGTCATCCCAAAACGGGATCAGCGAGTCTTTGCTCGAGGTGACAAAACCGTTGTTAGGATTTAAGCGGGACATTATGGGGCTGATGATATCATATGTGATTGCTCTACAATCTAGTAGCTCTGTGGAGAAGGTGGAGAAGAAGAGCTCTTTCCCCGGCGGCAGGTCTTTGTATACGTCTCGCCGGAGAGGAAACCAGAGATTTTCGGGCGGTGGTTCTTATTAAATGTATATAGTCGGGTTCAATCGGTTTACTTGTATAGTCTAATTTAGTCCGGTTTAGTCTTGTGGTTTACTGTATATATACTCAATTGTAGTCTCTTTACCCATTTGGAAAATCAATAATAAGACACATTCATGGAGTTCGTTTCTGTGTTATGGTATCAGAGCTTCTGATTTTATTCATTTTTCTTCACGAATCTTTCAAATTTTTTCCATATTCACCAATTATTTTTTGGATCGAGCTTGGATCTATAGTTTGATTGACATTAGAAGTTTCAAATCTCGTTCGCAAAGGGCTTTGACTTTGGATCAATCACTTTTCTGCAATTCGAGTTCAACAATAGCAAAACAAGGAAGAAAATCTGAGGAATCGATCAAGTACGCTTGATGTAGAAGCTTCAGTAACGAAGAATCGAGGCGAATCTTCTCCGTCTAACGATCCAGATGTCGTCATGTACTCTTCCCCTCACTTCTCGGATCAACGTAACAACAACATACGCATTTCTGTGGGAATGGAATCGTTCAATAATGTACACAGCCCTTACTTTCTACATTATACGGATAATCTAGGTCTGTCAATTGTTTCTCACACTCTCGATGGAACAAATTACAACAACTGGTTCATAGCAATGAAAATTAGTCTTGATGCGAACAATAAGCTTGCATTTGTGGATGGATCGCTACCTAGCCCAGATGTTACTGATAATCTGTTTAAGATATGAAGTAGATGCAATAGCATGGTCAAGACCTGGATAATGAATGTAGTTAACAAGGAGATACATATAGCATTTTGTATTACGAGGATGCAGCTGAGATGTGGAATGATTTATACATTTGTTTTCGTGTTAGCAATCTTCCACGCAAGCATCAGCTAGAGCAAGCCATCAGTTCACTCAAGCATGGTTCTCTACTCCGGGAACAACTCGCCAATGCTAAATCTCACACAGCAAAGAAGTGTAATTGTGATCAGGTGAAAGAGCTATTAGAAGATGCAGAAACGAGTCGGATTATTCAGTTTCTCATGGGCTTGAATGATAACTTCTCTAACATCAGAGGAAACATTCTGAATATGCACCATCGCCCTGGATTATCTGAGATCTACAACATGCTGGATTAAGATGAAAGTCAACGAGTTGTTGGTATTCGTAGCTAATGAATGCCTCCTCCAGTTGTTTTTCAGGTTCAAGAATCCACATTATCGGATCCCTCTCAGATTTTCTTAGCTCATGGCAATTACAAGAAGCCAAAATGCTCACATTGTAACAAGATTGGACATCCAGTGGATCGATGCTACAAAGTTCACGGTTTTCCTCCTGGTCATCCTAAAAGCAAGGCATTCACTACTATGGGAACCACGAATATGACAGGCCTCAATAATAGTCCTAATCTTCCACAAGAGCAGAAGTTGGATACAGAGTATGAGCACATGTCAAAAGATCAGATTCAAGCTATGCTGTATTATCTCAGTTCCAAGCTTCACACCCCTAGTACTGCTACAATACCTGAACATGCTTGTGCTTCTATCTCATCGATATCAGGTACTTTCCTTACTTTTTATGATCATCAATACTACGATATGCTTGTTTCTTCTATATCTGTAGAACCAGAAGTGTCTCTTAGGACTTGGGTTATAGATTCAGGGGCAGCTCATCATATCACTCACAATAGAAATCTTTTTACTGATTACAAACCTTTAGATAAGGCCTATGTGACTCTTCCTAATGGATATACTGTTAACATAGTGGACATATGATTCACTCAATTGCCTGATGCGATCTCTCTCTACGATGTCGTGTACATACCTGAATTTAAATTTAATTTGCTTAGTGTCAGTGTTTTGCCTAGAACTTTAAATTGTAAAGTGGGTTTCACTACTGATGCATGTTTCATTCAGGCAATTACACGGGAATTGATGATTGATCAAGGTAGTCAAGCCGACAACTTATATGGCTTGAATTTTAATAAATCAGATTATACTGTCTTTGTCGAATATATTAGGTACTCCTCCTACTTGTGCTAGTTTTCTTATTGACTATGTTACTTGGCATAAGAGATTGAGTCATCCATCTCAGTCCAAGATAGATTTACTTTCAGATGTACTGAACTCGAAAAAGGTTAAAAGTAATAAAAGAATTTCTGATCCTTGTCACGTTTGTCATTTTTCCAAGCAGAAATGTCTCCCATTTAAATCTCATGATAATATGTGCAATGTTTCTTTTGAATTAGTTCATATTGATGGGGTCCCTTTTCTGTGCCTACTGTTGATGGATATAAATATTTTCTCAACATTGTTGATGATTATAGTAGAGCTACTTGGGTTTATTTACTGTGTACCAAGTATGATGTTCTTCATATTTTTCATGCTTTCATTCAGTTAGTTGAAACTCAATATAATTCTAAAGTCAAGTCTGTTAGATCAGACAATGCACATGAACTGAAGTTCACTGATTTGTTTGCATCAAAAGGCATCATTGCATATCATTCATGTCCTGAAACTCCTGAACAGAACTCTGTAGTAGAGAGGAAGCATCAACATTTTTTTAATGTTGCTAGAGCCCTTTTATTCCAATCTCAGGTTCTTTTAGAGTTTTGGGAAGACTGTATTCTCACAGCTATCTTTTTAATCAATAGATTACCCTCTCTAGTCTTAGAGAACATTTCTTCTTACGAGCGGCTAACTAAGAAATCACCAGAATATCATTTATTAAAAAGTTTTGGGTGTTTATGCTATAGTTCTGCGTCTCCAAATGGTAGAAATAAGTTTGAACCTCTGGTTAGAGCGTTTGTTTTCTTAGGATATGCAAATGGTTACAAAGGGTATAAACTGTTAGATATAGAGACACATTCTGTTTCTGTTTCCGAGCATGTAATATTTCATGAAGATATTTTCCCTTTTGTATCATCATCCCCAAAAGATGATACAAAGGATTTATTTCCTCTATTACAGTTTCCTTCGCCCACAGATGATCATATGACACATACACTTGCATGACTTTCATTGTTATAATAATACTCTTACTAAAATAACAACTCATTATCCAATCACAAACTTTATCTCTTATTCATACTTATCTGAGCCTTTCCGTGCTTTCCTTAATATTCTCACAAATACTCCCTTGCCTAAAAGATATTCAGAAGTCAAGCGCATACAAGTGTTTTGTGATGCTATGGGTGTGGAGATGGGAGCTATGGAACGGACTAATACTTGGAACATCTTCGACTTACCTCCAAGCAAAACTGCTATAGGATGTAAATGGATTTACACAATAAAATATCATGTAGATCGTCCTGTGGAGAGATATAAGGCACAGTTGGTGGCCAAGGGTTATACTCAATAAGAAGGCATTAGATTCTTTGATACTTTCTCCCATGTTGCTAAGTTGGCTACTGTTAAACTTCTTATAGGTCTTGTACCGAAGATGAAATGGTCACTTACACAACTGGATGTATTGAATGCTTTCTTAAATGGTGAGCTCGACGAAGAAATATACATGAAGCTACCTCCTGGATACGTTGAGTTAAGAGGGAACCTGTATCACCAAATGCCGTTTGTAGGTTACTAAAATCTATTTGTGATCTCAAACAAGCATCACGATAATAGTTCATTAAATTCTCCACTAGTCTGACTCAATTTGGTTTTGAAAAATGTGGTGGTGATCATACAATTTTCGTCAAGGAGTTTGATGATTTTTTTTTGCAGTTTTAGTCTATATTGATGACATTTTGATTGCGAGTACAGATGATGATGCAGTGGTTGAGCTGAAATTGCAGTTGGCGTCCCAATTCAAACTTTGAGACCTTAGTCCTCCCAAGTTTTTTCTTGGTCTTGAAATTGTCAGATCTGCTGAAGGTATCTCTATCAACCAACAAAAATACATGCTTAATCTCTTAGGATCTAGTAGTTTTTCTGGTCGCAAACCTTCTCCAATACCGATGGAGCCAAATCAGAAGCTATCTAAAGCAGATGGATTACCTATTGATGATCTGAAGCAATACAAAAGATTGATTGGTAGACTGCAATATCTCACAATCACAAGGCCAGATATCAGCTTTGCTGTTTCTAAGCTGGCTCAGTATTCCTCTGATCCCCGTGAGCCTCACTTGAAAGGAGCTAATAAGGTTCTT